AAAAAATGTTTTGTTTGTTCCCACAAAAATTTTTCTTCAAAAATTATCATTACAACAGAATCTGATAAATTACATTTTTCTCATGTTGCAAGATCACAAAAAGCGACCACAATATGTCATCAGTAATTACGCAATTTAAATATATGAAATCGATGATATATCAGAACGCTTTAAGAAAACGCTTTCCGGCGAGATACTCGTAATAGAAATGCAGTTACTTTCGATCTGTCCAAATCATCGCATCAATGATTAGGTGATAAAACTTTAATTATAATTTCCGGTTTGTCAGTAAATCTAGCTTTCATGCTAATGAAATATAATTCGCTTTCGTGACTAGGCCGACTGCCTATCTGCCTATTCATCGACGATGAAGATACGGTCTACAATGTAGAAATAATATTGCAACGCTGGCAAAAGACGTTAATCTTATTTCCATTGACCACTTCTTTGTAAATTAGTATTTTATAAGTACATGAAAATATATCACATCATAATTTACAGTTTTTAATCATTTTATTTTATTATTTGAGATTAATTTAATTAAGAATTATCATATATTTCGACTTGTCAAGATGGTATTTATGATAATGTGATTTTATCGTATAAAGCAACGTGTTTCGTACAAAAGTTGCATAGAATATATTGCAATAATAATAGTAACTAAAAAAATGTTGTCTAATTGTGATTACAAAACGCCATATTTAAAGATTGTTTTAATGTGAGAATAATGTAGCATATTTTTGTGTGATATTATATATACTGTTTATATATGTTATACATACCTGACATATATTAGTATAATTATATAATTAAAATATAATCATTATAAAATCATAATCTTTTTATTTTAATTTCTTTTTGCTTTTAGATGCCTTTAAGACGTGAATGCTGTCAGAGCTATTATTATCGATTGAATACATCTTTGTGCTTTTCGTAAAAATTTAATATTCATAACTTCAATCACTATTTTTACACGTAATATATCATAATACTTTACTCGTCTGATTACAGAATTATTGAAAGCAGATTGAGCAAAACTCTCTCTCATACACTTAACGAAACTATCTTTCCAGCAAAATATGTACATCTATAATTTGATTTCATCTCTGTTCGATTAAAATACAAGATAAATCTATTGAAACGTGAAAATATAAATTTGATTTGCTTTATTTATCTGCACTCACTGATCTCTTGCACGTGGAAACAGATTTGACAGCGACATTATTTCCTTCAGCGGATTCAGACGTAACTGCGATTGCGATATAGCAACCATTACGAGCAACTGGCCTCGGCTAAACAAACCGCTCTCGTCACACACAAGCAAAAAATCTGCGCACGCATTAATAGCGTAATGTCGACTGTATACCTTGTGTGCATGTATGCATGAAGGAAGCACGTGTTCGCACTTGTTGCCAAAGGTATAATCACTACAATTCAGAATTCTTCCTCTCCCTCTCTCTCTCTTTCCCCTCCTTCTTCCCCCCCTTCTCTCTCTCTCTCTCTCTCTCTCTCTCTCTCTCTCTTTCGTTTTCGTTACAATGTAAGATGGAATAAAACAAAATTTGGCCAATAAATAAATGCATATATGAGTGGTGTATATATTATCGTAAATACAGTATATAAAAACATTTTTTTTTATGATTTTGCACGTAATAATATATAGACTTACAAATATATTTGCCTTACAAAGAAAATCACGCGTATAAAAATGGTTACAGGATACACTTATTTCTAGTCAAACGGGGAAAATCTGACGAACTTTTTAGAAATTTGCTTTCTAAAGCGACGACTGATTAATAGTTCTCTGATTGCGTTGAATTCTGAGTGGTGTTAAGTGTTTTACAATAGTTTTTCTCTTTGTGTTAATATATCCTTGGCACTAGAAAATATCACTTTGTAGTTTATAAATCAATAAATTGAAGTATTTAGGGCGGTATGCGGTTCTTATATTTAAGATTGTCTTAAGATGTTGTGAACCAATCAGAAAGCCATATTAGCAAAACAGTACTTAAGATAATCTTGGAATAAGAACAGACTATGAATGTCCTTAGAGTACAAGTGGATTAAGTCTGTGTCTTGAAAGATCCTTAATTAAAAATTACATTTAAGATGAATTCAATTGCCAATCAATTGCTAATGTGCCATTATAATTGACTTATAATCGTAGACTCAATCCACTTATTTATTGAATCCTTCGATTACTGACATATATTTTTTTATATTCATAAATTACAAAGTAATATTATTTGTTTTAGTTTGGAATTTTTGATATAACGCAACGATTTTATACGAAAACTACTTCGCTGATATGATCAAAATTCAGCATGTATTAAACATTACTGACTGCTCTTATAGCGTACACATCTCAGAATGAATTCTTTTTCTTTCTGCAAAATATGGCATCAACTTAATTCTACTTATTATTATTGGTATTATTATCATTCCCATTATTATTATTTTTTTTATTACTATTCCCAAAAAGGGATTATGCGACATATCCACAACTTGATATTCTCATGATTTCTGTATATTTTTGTCACGTAGTTTGAAATTTTACGTTAACAATAATAATAAATAAAAATAATAATAAACAATGGCAATACTAATAACAACAACAATCGTAAAAATCCATAAAAATATCAATTGTTTTGCGTGTATATAAGTACATTGACTATTCGAATTACGGGGATGCACCTATTTTTCAGTTGCTTATCTTATGAGGTTAATGCAACATTGAATTATTAGGCAGATTTCATCGGTTCCTACTTGATTTCGTTGAACAATGTAACAAAACACGCTCATTAAACATGCAATTTCACTCCTTCCATTCTGTTCGTGACTTTTACCAGTACGTTTTCATGCGTTGTATGCAATAACGATGAACAAATTTTTATAATTATCTTGTTCAACTCATTAATACTATTGTTAAAAAAATATAAACAAAATCAAAATCTTTACTCGTATTTTAATTACATTTTAATGTTTTTGAATTGATATTTATGTTAGAAATTTTACGCAAAATTTTGCTCTTCTTATCACAATCATCTCATCTTTTAACAACTAACTTCTTAACCGTTAAGAAATAAAAATGCATAAAAATAATTTTTATGAAAAAATAATTAAATTTGAAATTGTATTAATTTAATTTTGGGGAATGGAAAATTTAAATTTGCAATTGAAACTATGGAAATACAAATTGTAAGCTTATTCAATTATTATATGGCAAATAGATATATATTTTTTGAATCGTAAAAGTTACTTTACTGAACACATAAAATTCACGAATGTTTGGTGTATATTCAAAACTATTATCTTAAATTACAAACCATACTTTTTTGTTCTTTTTTACAATCAAGTACAATATCTTTGACCCATCTGAAACTTACATTTTATTTCTTAAGATTTGAAGACGTAATAAAATATAATGAGCAATTTGTTCTGTTTTTACACATTGACTTATATACAATCGAATTTAATAAATTTTATAATAAGAGATGTAACAATCGCTGCAGTGAACATCTACATTTTTCGTGCAGTGGTGTCACCAGCTCTTATGCGCTCATGGCAGCGTTTGTCACAGCCGTAATAATGATTTTATATTAGCTTGTACCACACTCATGAAATGTTGCTCATATTTGGCCAGTTAAAAATTCATGATAATCAGCAAAATTTAATCAGCAATTCTAATTATATTGCTTAGTATTTATAACAGTATTGTTCTTCCATTATTTTCATTATTAAGTTATTTTTATTCTTGTTTATCTTATTTTTATTTCAAAAAAGTATACAATGTGCGTGTGTGTGCGTGTGCGCGAGCGCGTGTATGTGTGCGGAATATCTTCAAAAAAATATAAATACTTTTTTATATAAGTTTAAATTCAGATATACAACCGAAACAAGTAGAAACATTAATTCGATATTTAGAAAGGATCCCGTTATCAAAAAGAATATTTAACAAAAAGAAAAAAAAATATTCCTAAATCAAGAAGCAATAGTTAAAAAATGTGAATAATTTATATAGTCCAAAAACACGTCAAATTTTATCTAATTGTAATATATTATTTATTATCTTGTTGAGAGAAAAAATTATTAATACCAATATTACATATTTTAATTAAATAAAACTTATTTTCGAAAAGATATAGCATTTTTATCTTAATTTACAAAAATAGGGAGATTTCATAATAGTATAATTTAATATATTAATGCAAAAACTGAATGCAAGTCAATGTATTATTACATTTCTGTTGGAAGAAATATGAACACTAATAATGCATATTTTGATTCAATAAAATTATTTTTTTCAAATATGCAAATTTTAGTTTAATCTACAAAAAACAATTTTGAAAAGTGCAACCTAATAACTGTTTGCAGCGCTGATTCAAGCCCGTCTCTGGCACTCCTGTACCATTCATTTATACGCCCTCGTATCTGCAAAAAAAGAAAGAAAAAAAACAAAAAAAAAAGAAATTAGATCGATCAAGAGTTGCCTGATTAATTAAAAGAGGAAACTCAGGATCAAAAGAGCGCTCTTTCTCTCTCTTGATCACAAATTGTTTAGTTAACTAAAAAGTACGTGAAGAGACATGTCAGTATCAAAGTACTCTCTCCTCAAAAAATTAAGACACGATATCGAACAAATGATGCAAAATAGTCTTTGGAATTGGATTTTATATCTTATCAGAATTGTAAAATAATACGTTTCTTTGCTAATTTAACTTATTGCTAGGTTGCTTTATTTATGTTATAAACATTATTGAGCTGTAATTCCAAATGTATAAATATTATAAAATGATTGTCTTGTATACAACACTTAATTGTATTCATATTATCTCTAAAATATAAGACAATGTGTTCTAAAATTATAAGAAATTAAAATAGATTTGTAGATGATAGGCTTTATTATACTCAGATCTGTAAAAACTTGTGCTCAAACTTCCTCATATATATTTATTTGGTTTCTCTCAGTTTTTTCCATGTTACGCAATAAAAAATGTAAAATGTGTACGTATTGTTTTCTTATTAAATTACAAATTTTGAGATATCTTATTGTGCGAATTATCACATTATATTGATGTATAAAAAAAATACAATAAACAGGTTGCCTTATTTATCGAATTTATCAAAAAGTTCATATTATTAATTTTTTAAAGTCGTACAAGTAGACTCTCGATTTTACGGATCCCGATTTATATCGGATTTTGGAAAATCCGGACAAAATCTGAGAACTTCAAGAATATTTAAAACTTGAAAAAAGCCGTTCAAAATTTGAATGGCCCGTTAGCAATTCGTAAAGTAACCGATAGACAATGTATATATTGGTTAAGATAGAGAGCCAGTGCACCTCAGTAGTATTATTGGATTAACCGTGTTTGCAGCACACTACCAATTGGTATATTTTAGCTGTAACACGATAACACAATAGTTGCCTCACCAATTATATTAAACTTCGAAAAATCCGGATAATCAGATTTTTCGAATCACTGTTCCTCCCCATTAGTCCGTAAAATCGAGGATCCACTGATATACTAATTACACTATCCTGCATAGGATTATTGTATAAGGAAGAAAAATAGTTTTTGCATGCATTAAATACAAATCCAGTCCTAAAATGTTATACCAAATTTTGAAAAAACACTTTAAAAAAGTTTTCCTTCGTCAATTAAAAAATATCTAATTTTGCAGATCAATATTATCATCTAATCTTGCATTTCTTTAAATAGATAACGTAAATCATATATCAAATACTATTTTTGCTCTAACACTAAAATAATAAATAAATGTTCGTTCGATTCATCTACATTTTTATACATATAAAAAATCTTATAAACATTCGTTAAAAATCTTAGAAACCTTAGAATTAATTACCATTAAGAAAGTATACATAGTTATACATGACTCCATCTTGGTGCAGTACTTAGGTCTTCATTCATATTCAAAAACGTGTGCTAAACATTTCCTTACAAATACTCGATCAATTTGAGAACTTTACTCCAAATATCTCTATAGATTCAATTTCGAAACATTGACTCTTTCTCTAAGCATGTGGGCTAATTAAAAAGTTTTAAGACTCCAACATAGAAGCCGCAATATGTTAAAAAGCCCATATTTTAATGAAAATGGAAATTTGGTCATCGCTTTCGTGAGTCAAAGGCTGGACACACATAATTCAAGTTCATTTCGAGTGTGATAAGTTTATGAGAAAGAATATTTAGAACAAAAGAATGTTTTCAATATTGTGAAATTGTCATATTCATTCCTGATCTGCACATCCATCACTGAAGAAAGGTGTACAGAAAAACAAAAAAAACGACATAATGGCCTGATTGATTATGCGCGCCAGTTTGTGACCAGAATTGATATATTTAATAAAGTGCGATATATTACAGAATATCAGCAGTAATCCGAAAAAAATGCCCGATTTTTGTGTACATGTACGCAAACATGCATATATTCGTTTGCAAAAATCGCAAAATCGTCTTGACGATTTGAAACTTTTTCTTTTACACACGATTATACAGTCGGATTAGTATTTCACGATATCAAATGTAATTCTTTTACAATTTTATAAAAAATTTCATGATATTTCCATATATCATTATATCTTCTGTATCATTTATTATTTCGAATGATTTTTTGTATTCAATTTTTATAATATCAAAATTTTTCTATCGATAATGTATAAAAAGGAAAGATATACTATTATGCTAACCTCAAGTACGTCCTCATCCTCACTGGCTTAAAATTCGATCGGAGTATTTTTCAAGTCTACGATCCAGTCACATTAAACCGCGGCAGTGTCTTCCGTGCTTCGCAGTAGCGCGGCAGCCTTAACAACGTCACCGCCGCACTGATTCAGCATAACTTTACAATCCTCAAGGCCGACAAAACTATTCTCCTTCTTGAGAAGCCCTTGAAGCCGCTCCAACTTAATAGCGGCCAGAACATCCCACTCGGTGACGTTTAACGCAGCGATGCACGATTCCGGCGTCGACTGTTCGTGCAACACCTTCAGCATTATCCGCACTTCGTCGGATTGCTCCCCGTTGCGTGGTCCGCGCGTCCTCCGTGCATTCGGTCCGTCGCAGGCAAACTCCAATAAATCCTCACAAGAGACATGATCCGACTGCCGCGACAGATCGCTGATGCAATTCGATGTTTTCTCGTTGGATGAAAGATAGCCTTGTGGAAGAACAGTCGTGTGAAAATCGTTCGAACCAATGTGTACCAATGGTTCCTCGATAGTTTTGAGTTTGCAAGAGATTCCTTCTGTGTGTACGTGATCCATTTGCGTGGCATAATTCAACGGAGTCTGTTGTATTAATGGGATCCTCGCGGATGGAATTTGTCCTCGGATCACAGTAGTCAAAGGATCAATCTTTTTCCAATCTTCTGCTCTAATAGAATTGGTCGAACTTTGGTTAAGATCCGCTTCTGTATTCTCTCGTATCTTCGATGCCGAACTCTTCGCGGAGCTTTTTGATTCGACGCTGATTTTTCTACGTACATTGTCTGTCATAGTTAACGAATTATTCGATTGCCCATCATTGTTTACTTTCGTGACATTTTGATGCAGATCTGACGCGTCGTCGCAGTCAATTAAGCTGTCCGAGAATTCCAGCAGATCTTCCGATATCACACTGCATCGTCGAAGTCGACTTTCCTCGATCGATAAAGAATCTAATGCGGCTAACTCAGAATCTATGCGTTGCTCGAATTCCTCTGGGCTGAAAATTTCGAGTATTCGTATCATGTCTATATTATGTGTAATAAGCAAGTACCCTGGTAGAAATTTAATGCAGCTTTCGATTGGTTATTGGGCAGTTATATTGGCTTCTTCCTAGTAATTGAACAGTAAAACTATTTTGGATTCCAATCAAGATGTAACGCTTTTCGCGCAGTTACTACATAGAAAAAATGTACAAAATCTGAACTCAGTTACTTAGCAGTAAAAGGACAATAAATAGATAATTGACAATTGTCACTTTTAACCTCTCTTGAAATTTTTATGACAGAATTATGTGAATTACGTATTGTAAGCTGTTTTAATTCTATAAGTTTTTAGTTCTATAAGTTTTTTTTTCTTTGCCCTATATTTTTGCACGCGTTCACACATTTTTATTAATTTTACACTTGATTATTTTATATATAACATAAAAAAAGTTTTATATACCAGCGCACAATGTATTATTACTTACAAAACGTATACATGAGCACAACTAAACTGATGAAAAACTGATCAAAAACCTTTTAATATTAGTGATATATTTTGTTAAAATATATTTTGGGCAAAATTAGTTAAAGCAATTTTATTGTACAATATATTTTGGCAAAATTAGTTAAAGCAATTTTATTTGTACAATATATATTGTATAATAAAATTGCTTTAACTAATTTTGCCTAGTTGCGATGCACTATTTTTGTATATACAGAAAAACCAATAATATTAGATAGTAACTGTGACCGAGTGTTCAGTCAAACTGCACAAATTTCTACCAGGTTAGCTAATTATAAATGTGCCATAGCTATTTAAGCCGTTATTTCATAATCTTTGAGTAATCCAAAGTCATAATTTTCCTCGTTTAAATAGAATGTTAACCCTTTGCGGTTTTATGACGAATTTGACTTGACATCACATTTCGTTCCAGCCAGTCGATGTCTATGTCGAGTCTAGCTCGACATAGGAATTTATGGAATTATTTACAAACATTCTAGCGATCCCGAAGATATTTCTCGTCGTATTATGATTGCATATAAACTATTACTTTATTTATATTAAATATGTTACCGTAAATTTAGGTTTTCGTTACTGAAAGATAGAAAAATATACAAGACATAGGGGAATGCTAGAATGAAATGTCAGAAATGGTCCGAACCACAAAGGATTGAATTACGTGTTTCAATCCGTTAATTTTAAGAGAAATAAAAAATCAAAAGTTTAGATTAAAATTTACAAATGCCATATTATGCAAAAATCTTATGTATGAAAAGTGATTTTTTTTACTTCATCCGTATTTAGATGATGCGTATGTTTCGGAAAGGGTCCAATTTGAAGAACATACTTCGCGACTTTGGAGCTTTGTGAGATTTATGCTTAAATAAGCTTGGCAGTCAAAGTATCAAAGCCCATGATACTTAATTCCCTTGAGATTTATTCGAAAGAAAATCGCTATATCTCACCTGTTAGCAAAAACGTCCGAGCAATAGTTGTCTTGCAACAAGGTTCCAGCGATCGATGAATTGGCATTCTGCAATACAATCTGCCCGTCTACTTGATCTTCTACGGACGATGTGGAGACCGCCATCTTGGCCAGCGTTCTGGTGACACCGCCGCCAGGAATGATTAGCGGATGTTTTCTCTGATGTCGCGGCAAGCTGGACTTGGGCTGAAGCGTCTTAGAACGGTCTCTGGGCGGCAGAGGTATCGGGTTTTCGTCGATATTGCTCTCGTTTTGATTGTTCTCGATCTCCAAGTTCGAATGATGCTTCTCGAGAATGCGCGATTGCGGCAAAGACAAAGTCGCGTGGGAAGGAGGGGCCGCCCGTATCTTGGGCAGTGTTCTTGCGCCGCTATAGTGCATATCGAAGTGGAAATTATGCTCGCTAGATGTGTCCTCCGAATGTGACGATACGGAATGGCCAAAGGTGGTATGCTTGTTGCCGCGAACTCTAGGCCTCACTATAGGCAGTCCGGAGCGCAACATGCGCAACGGATTCGTGTCCCCGGTGCTCTCCATTATTGGCGTCTCCACCAAGCTGTTGTACACTTCCTTAGCTTCGTCCGACAAAGTGGCCTGAACAAGTTGCGGGAGGGGATAGATATACGAGGGGAAAAGAAACGAAATTAAAATGAAATAAAAAGCAATAGAAACTATAGATATAAAATACTAAATAAACTCTTGTTCGCAAATCTTCCTTTCTCTCATTTGCATTTCTTCTCTATCTCTTAGTTTTCTCCCCCTCCCCACTCCCACTCGTACTATCTTTAATATTGTGTGTCAACTCAACAATTATTATACTTCGAGCAAGTCGACTGCTAATAAATGACTAATACTTGACATTTGTTGCAATTTTTAATGTGCGATAGAAAGTTACACATCCAATGTCTTCTTATCCAATAAACACGATTGATATCAGAGTTCTCAAACTTTTTCGCTACGCATCATGTGTTTTTAGGATTTAACTCTGTGTAAAAAAAATTACTCTCTTTTCAAAGGACAATGATTGTGTCCTCAATAAATTAAAAATAAATTTAAAAAAATTTTTTAATACCTAGAAATGTGGAGGTGTGTGTTTCAAAAATACAGATTCTCTGAAATAAGAAAACACGACGTATGTAAAATTGCACTGTGACATAAAAAAAGTTCTTATTAGAGTTTCAGCACTTAACATCACTATAATTATATTTAACAAAATAATGCTAACTTCACACTCGATTTCAAGATTGAATAGTTCTGAATAACTTATATGCTATTGAAATCTACTACAGTGTGATAATAAATAAAAAACGTTGTTAATGTCATATAAAACAATTTTTTTAAATTAATTTATATGTTAATTTATAATATGCAATACTTCTTGCTTTCCGACAACCGTGCTTTTGATTCTTATTGTCTTGTATATCATTGTCAAAATATTGTGTATGTGATTTTGTACATAAGGGACATTGATGATATGCGTATTTCAAAATTTGAGAACTTCTGATCTCTCTCTGTTCCAAAGTACTCTGTAACTATTTAAGAATATGTAAATGCAAGTGTATATTATATGTATAAATTTCATTTGTGTAAAAAATGGTAGTGATAAACTAACTTGCATATCGCATAGAATTTTGTATGAGTATCTTAAATACGTGTACAAGTGCTAAAAACGTGTAAATACGTCCAAAGTGTTCCATTATATATTAATAATATCCATTTTAGTGATCAATGCAACATGCAACCATGCTAAGCATATGTGAACTGCACTTATTTCGCACATCTCTCTTTTTCAGTTAATTATTTATATATATTATCTTATACATCGTATACACCATTTGTTTAATCTATTATATCAAAATCGAAATTCGAAATTAATTGCAATTTTCGGTTGCTCGCGGTAAGGGAGGGATAGTGAGCATCTACCTCAAAATTTGACCGAAAGCTGCAATTCATTCCAAGAGCTCTGTATTTAAAAATTAAATATTTTTATCAGACTAATAACTTGAAATAAAATTATTTACAATAAATTAAAAAATGTATATATATAATTTTGCTATTGCTTGTAATGTGTGTGTGTGTGTATATATATACCTTCTCGTCATAGTAAAATTTTGACAAATTCCGAAATAAAGAATATTCCAAACAAACATAGAATATTTCAGAATTCATGAATGTTCTTTTAATGATAGTTTCTTGTTTGATTAATTTCGAGTCAATTTTTCTTCAGCAAAAATGTCAGAGTCTTTTTCAGTCAAAATGCCAAATTGATCAGAGACTTTATCATTAAAGACGTTCATAAGTCGTTTTACGATACGTGCAATAATAAAATTAGTTGATAAATTAATTTTTTGCTTTTGTATCCAACATGCTTGTTTCTAATACAGTTATGCGATGATGTAAGAGAAAAATAAAAAGTAAGATTGAAATTATTAAAAATCTTCTTAATAAGATTATTTTAAAGTGAATTATTAAAATTATTATTCAGGAACTTTTGGCCATACACATTCTACATAGCCTAACAATGTACATAACGATACTAAATTTAATATTAAACAACTATAATAATTATGATAAAAATCATATTATTTTATTCAAATTATATCCTCTCAGTTTTTAAGATAAGCAAATAATATGTTCAATTTAGGGAAATTTGATCTAGCTTGTTAATTCTTTAAGAAATAAAAACACTTCGTTACTAAAAATAATTCCTACAAGAAAATAATTAAATTTATGTGAAAATTAATAATGTTTTTAAAATCTTCTTTTTGACATTCTTAATTATTGGCCCAAATTTGCACACTTTCTTACCTATTTCTCATTACTTCTTGTTCGAAATTTTGAGAAGATAGAAGAAAGTAAAAAAGCTTTTTTAAAGGGTTTGATTCCTTAAATATCTCTTTATTTTTTTACTTTCCTTAGTAGATATTAGAAGATTAAAAATAAGACATAAAATACCTACAACAAATCATGTAACAAACTTTCTACCGGATAGATTAATCGTACCATTGGTTCAATACTGAAAGGAAGAGTTTTGAATAAAATAAAATAATTTTTATAATTATTGTAGTCTCTAAATAATTTAATTATTTAATCGCCGAACTGTTTATACTGAATAATAAGAATTAATGTAATTCCATGCATTCATTAGATAACAATGTTTTCAACCGCTCTATGAAATTGTGCAAGTTTTATACATAGAAAAGCCATATCCAACCACAAGCTGTAACTTTGAACTCTACGGAGCAGGGGAGGGAGGAAATGTCAACATATCGTTTGTGAATTCTGGATACTCGGAGCTGGTGTCCGAATCGAGATCGGAATTGCTGGTAAACGTCAGGCTGGAACTCGGAGCGCTTTCTGGCCAAGAAACCAAATTGTTTTTAGAAGAGAACGGCGGCGACAGCGAATTCAGAAAGCTCGTCGACGGCGGCGGTGATTTTCCGCAAAGCTCGATCGCGGGGAATCCCTTAGCGGAGTCCGGATGCAGAAACGTCTTGTTCTTAAAATTTAAGCGCAACCCGTGTGGGACTCTCTTATGTCTACGTTTGTACCGCAGACGGCTCCTAATATCGGTCTCTGAGTGCGAAATGGAATCGGAATCTTCGCTCGAATCATTTCTGGGATGAAAAGATCTGCGTATGTTCTTCATCGAAGGTTTCCTGTTCTCCGACAAGGAGGACGTTCTATGTCGATAAACGCTAGCGGCACTGGGAAGCTTCTCTGCGAATACATTCAACTTTGGCAACTCCTTTCTGGCGGAATCGTTTTGATACAATTTTGGTGGCTCAAGAATGTGTTGGTGTATAGTAGGACTCGTCGGTGGATTTGCCCTCTGCATCAAATTCAGCTTGGCGTTGATCGGCGACTGACTTTGCAACGATATATTCAGATCTAGATGCTTGGGCTTCTGAATCGGTATATTCAAGCTGCGTAGAGATATCTGCGGTGACGCGGATAAATCCAGGTTTCTCATGTTGGAGACCAGGTTTGATTTTTGTGAGTTAGTTTCCAAGTTCGTCGTATTGTGGGTGATATTTTTGCCCAATTGCATCATATTCTGCGTCAGCTTACCCAGGCCCAAATTTAAACTTTGTATCTTCTTGGAATCCAAGTAGCTCTTGACACTCTCCAGGCCGGAGACTTCACGCTGATATTTCTCCGCTAAGAGTTTACTGTTCAATTCCACTTGACTAGCCTCGGCGTCAGATTTTCTCCTGAGACGCTGGAAATTCACTCGCAGACTCTCCGAGCTACTGTATATGGGAGATTCCTTTTTCTCAGGCTCGGCGATAAATAAAGGATTGTTTGATATTACAAACGGAAAACTTTCGTGGCCATTCTGGTTCTGCTCAATTTTGCGAAAACTTTGTATGTTTATTCTTACCGCTTCCATATTACTCCTCGGACTGTCCGATCCACCTATCTTTAAATTAGTTTTAATGCTATCCGACGAGCCGTAAATGGCGCTTGTCGTATCTTGATTAGGATTTCTAGGCACAAAAGACACTTTCACGGCTCTGGACTTGGACAAGTCGATCTTTTTCGTCAATTCTGTGATGTTCATTTTTGCGGACTCGGTGAAAGTAACGGGAACCTTCGGCCGCGCGCCAAGATCAAAGTTCGTCGCTTTATCCCCCCTCGCTACGTCGAATTTATTACAAGACTCGAAATTCGCTGCTTTCTCCTTCGATATATCAAAATTTTCGTCAGGTCGCACTTGAATATGTGTGGTACTATCCTTCACTTGTGATTCGCAATTGCTCAATTTATTTTGGAATGCAAAATTGGTTCTGCCATCGAAAGATGAGCTCTGTTCCTGAATGTTAGAGTAATACGTCGGTCTGTTGGCCTGTTCCAGATTATTAATCTTATCGTACTTGTCCAGTTTCTCTTCGCCGAAATACATCTTTTCGTTGGTACATCCTAGAACATCTTCGTCATCGCAGTACTTGGGCTGGTCAAAATAGCGTTCTACGTAGCTAGTAGACACTCTCTTCATCTCGCGTGAAAAATCGTAGTTGGAATTTTCCATATTGAAGATCTTGCCGTTCTGACAGCGAGCGTTCAATTTACTATCCACATTAGCCACACTCTCGCAATTCAAATTATCCATTTTATTTCCGTTCTCCAAGAATTCGGTGGACTTGACCAGGCTCTGCTTTGCCGCCGCGTTATCTAATATGTGTGCATCCAAATCGATGTCCATGTACGAAGCCCAGGCGCTTGGTTTTGTTAATAATTCCCGTGATTTAGCGAAGCAAAATTCTGCCGAGGCCTTGTCCCATAAAGGAAGTTTTAAAGTCGACGGCGCGCCGAGGGATTCTATGCTAGATACCGTAGATGAAAGTGATTGCAAACTTGAACATAGCCACTTTATATAGCACGTAAGAATTTGAAGACAGCATGCAGTAAAAAACATATATACATATATTTGGCAAATCAAATGCATGCATAGCAAATGCAGGTGCATTACATAAAGCAAGACATATGACATATATAGATGACATTTTACAATTGGCGAAAATGTGTAGTTTGCATTTGTTGCCAAATTAAACAAAATTGCGATGCAATTAAAAATATAATGTCAAATTATACAAGTAACCAAAAGATACAAAAATAAATGAGAAGTAATGAGAGAGGAAAAAGGTCAGAGAAAAATCGATTAGTTTGTTTGTGTCTGAAGTGAATAAGCACTAGATTAAAGAACTTAAAAGTACAATCACTCGAATTTAAAGTAAATTATTTTAGTTGCGTTGGTAATATGTACATATATACCTACTTCTTATCTTTTTACATGGCAGCAGGAATTAACTGTGTTCCATAACAGTTTCAAAATTGTTTCCGAACGTTAGAATATGTATATGTATGTATTTATGTATGTATTATTCAATCCTACAGAGAGTAATTCCCATCCAATCTTGAAATCCAAATGTCGAAATTATATATATAGAAAATATATACTAAATATCTCTCGAGAATTAAGCATTTTCGAAAACAATGTTAAATACAAAAATTGTAGTTTTCAGTGGTGTATGAAATGGTAAAAATAATGATGAATCTGAGTAGTGTTGTCAAGATCACGTAAAAATCACCAATTTTTAAAATTAAAACCCCCGTTTCTTTATTATTCTTATTATATATTCTTATGCTGATGACTAGACGTTTTCAAACTTGTATGATTAACTCTATTTTCATAAAAAACTTTTATGGAGCTTATATTTTTGACATAAGTATAATATTAAAATATCTGGTAAAGTATTTACTTTTTGTGATTTGATCTTAATTTAATAATATTAATTTTTACATTTGCAATTTCTTTTAAGCCTTCTCTTATTTACATTACTCTACTTTTTTTCGTTTTGTTATCCTACTTTTTCGGAATTATTTAAATATGACATTTTTTAAATAGAACATTCTATATAAAATCTTATCAATAATTTAGGAATTACTTTTCTTATATGCATGCAAAATTTCCATTACTTAGCGTATCATCTTTTTTCACGCTTTTCTATTATGAATGCAGAATTTCTAAATTCTACAAAACTCACCGATTCGTATAAGAGCGTATAAATTACAATGAAAATATTGAGGTTTGTCAAATGAGATTACATAATAAGAATATTGATCTTTTTACAACGTCTTCCTTTGTTGCGACTCGTTTAACCTAATGTGTAAAATCTTCAACATATTCCTGCGATAAAACAAAAACCGTGTTTTTGTACCTGGAAATCAGGTATACTGGCAGCTTCCTCGGAATAATGTCGCCTGTCTGATTTGGGACTGTGTTGATGTGGCAACTTAAAAGAGAATTTCCTGCGTCTTGAAGGACTGGCAGGTGTTCGGGGAGACTCCGGTGGATGTTCAAGATCTGTCATGGAACGTGCTGTCAATTCCTGTGCCATAGCAATAGCTGAGTAGAGAGTTTTCTGATCAGCAGCTGAGATAGGCTTCACCTAGATACAAGAGAAATGTTTACCGTCTCATACTAACGACAGGTTAACATTTCCGCAATTTTCCATTTTTCTTACAAATATATTGCAAAAAATTGTCATACTAAATATATATAATGTAAGTATACAGTAACTTTATTGTAAATTGTCGGTTCTAAATCGGACCAATTTTATTTTTTATTTCCCAACTTGATAACACATATATAAATATAAATAAAAATAATATCTATAGAGCCGCAAATAATAAATAAGAAAAAAATAATACTGCGTAACATATATATATACAAACTCATAGTCATATATATAAATAATAAAAAATTACTGTACATTTATTGGACTCACGGTGGCTTGTTTCTTCTTGTTACACTGTTTTGCTTGAATTTCTCTCAGTTCGTTTCTCGCGTTACTTGACTCATGTTCAGTGGACAAAGGATGTCCAGGTGGCGGTAAAGGAGGAGAAGAACCTATTAAAAACATAATTAAATATTAAACGTGTAATATATATATATATATTCTTGCACATACAGGATTTCCAATTTTAAACAAAGACCTAATATATCTCGGAATTGAAAAAAATATTTCCGACAAAAGTTGTAAAACTTGAAGGAGAAGAAAAGGGGTGATATGGATCTTGCGTTGCTACCTAAAAGTTATTTTGAATTTTTTCAATAGAAATCATAAAATGCGATTACAAATTTATACAAAATGTCGAGACATTTTCAAAATAGTGTCATTAAACTTTTTTTTTGTTAAAAACTTTCTGAATTATTTTGTATTATATCATATCACTTTAACATAAAATATGAAAAATTTCGTAAATTAATTGCTTTTCGATGACTTTACTTTAATATTTTTATATCAAGAATAATTTAAGAAATAAATTGAGAGATAGAGAGATAGATAAAGAAAACTAAAATAGATTTTCACGTCCAATTCCGAGATATTTCAGATCCTAATCAAAAATGAGATACCCTGAACATTCGCGGATTTTATTCAACATCTCTTAATCATACTTTTACCTAGTGATCTAAACATCTGATCCATTTCCGCCAAAAGACTCGGACCAAAATCAAAGTTTAACGTTTTATCAAATCTTAACGGACTCTCTTGGTTCTCTTCGTCGCTGATTTCATGGTATTCATGATCAGTTCCGAGGATATTAGCACAACTACCTATATTAGATGTCATAGATTGCTTGTTCCCATTGCCTTCCGTAGTGACGTGGCATATCTCCGAACTTGTATCAGACCATAAACTCTCTGAATAGACATATAAATAGGCGTTAATTTTCAAAATAGCACAAAAGTGTTGATTTCGAGAATAAAACATATCTAATGTGTTCTCCTCCATCTTCAAATTTTTAATAATTATTACTTCGTAACATTTATTAATAAAATAAGTTTATTACAACACAAATGCATACCGTGTTTGCTTTGCGTCTCTTGTTGTTGCACGTTTCTATTCTCTCCTGCCGATTCCCTGTTTACATCGACATTTCTTGTATCTCGGTTTGGAATTTGACTAGCACTGTCAGTCGCATCCTCCTGCGGTTTGTACGGCGTTACAACCTGACGTGGCAAATGGGGATATTTTCCACCCAGAAAGCTAATGTCACCGAAGTAAGCCCCATCCAGACCCACATGACCGGTATGCTTGAGATCACCCTGTGGCGAGGATATCATATCCGTGCGTATTTTTCTACGCTGCGAGGAGAATGCGTTTTTACCGTCCCCTCTCGTAAATTCACCGGGTTTGTTGCTGGGTAAATTAGAGCCGAGATACGCGATAGTATGAGCCGGATTGAAAAATCCCGTTTTGCCATTGTTCAAAACACCTTTCCACAAAGTGTTATTGCTACCCTTATCCAGAACGGTAATTACGTCGCTTTGTCTATAAACGAGTTGACCTGATTCATTGCTATCTTGGACTGCTTGCACCTGCTCTGGTTTTAGATCGGGCAACAAGTTGATCAGTTCGGAAAACTTGGGTCTTTTCGAAGGTTCGTGCTGCCAACATTGTTGCATGAGGGAAAAATAGTCCTTCGGACAACACTCGGGTTGCTCCAGCCTCTGGAAGTTGGGCTCATCTATCGCTTCGAGGATCTGATGACCGGTCAAAGCCGCCCAGGGTTGAAACCCATAACTGAACATTTCCCATAACGTCACTCCGTACGCCCAGACGTCGCTAGCCGATGTAAATTTTAGATAAGATATACATTCGGGCGCGCACCATGCGATAGGTAACTTCAGATTGACATTGAAATTCGTCTGATAATAATCTTTACCTACTCCGAGCGCGCGCGACAAGCCGAAATCTGAGATTTTGACTTTGTTCTTAGAAAATACTAGGATGTTTCTGGCGGCGAGATCGCGATGTATCAATCTTTTCGCCTCCAGATATTGCATTCCATCAGCGATCTGCACAGCAAAGTCGCACAGCGACAGAACCGGGAAACTCGCGCGCAAACTAGGCTCCTTCAGACATTCCAGTAACGAGCGCAACGGTGCCAATTCCGTGACGAGCATCAGCGAATTCGTATCGAGCACGACGCCGTACAATCGCACAATGTGTTCGTGATCAATCGCGTGCATTATCGCAGCCTCTTTCAAAAACTCTATGGGATTGTTCTGCATTCTCTCGCGCGACAGACATTTGATCGCCACCTGTATTCTCTCTCCGTCATTCGTCCACACGCCTTGCTGCACGACCCCGAATTCTCCGGTTCCCAGTTCTTTGTTCACGATTATCGCATCGGCCGGAATCATATGTTTATTAGGCACGCGAATTGACGATCTGTCTTGCCTCTCTTCCGGCAATATACCCAACGCGCTGGGAGTCTGCTCCTCGCGTTTCGGTAGGAGCATTTTCTTAAACTTGGAGAGATAATTCTGAGGGAAATGTTTCTGGAAATATTTCTTTAAACGACGCATCTCCGGCTTGCTCATTCCTATCGCGTTCAGATCTTCTTCGGTTACATATTTTAATTGTGCTGTTGTTTGCACTTTCAAGTCCCCTAATAAATAGATATTATTACAATTTTACGAATATAAATAACGCGAAGGTAATCGTAGTATACCCGCGTAAAGAAATCGCCAATTTTTTTTTTGTTTGTCTCAATTGTTTGTGTTTTTCTTAACATAAATGTAATTTTGTTAATTTGTAACATTTCGTACGCACACGTGCTGCGTGTTAAGTGCGTTCGTGCACGAGTATGATGTTTAATTACAACGGTAAATTTTTTTAATTTATTTATTATGTAATATTTTGCTATGTAAAGCTATATATTTATATTGTGTTGAGTTTTTATCTTTAATAATGCAAATAAACTTGATTTGATTTCAAACTTTTCTTATCAGAAAATGTGGCTAGCACAAATAAAAATTAATAATATGTACCTCGAATGCCGGGATAATATTGCTGTAACTCGGCTTCCATAAGAAACTCGTAAAGACCAGGGCCATTGTTGCGGGACATCCCTCCTTGTGTATCTAAAATTAAGATAAATTTAAATTCTCGATATGAAAATAGAATTAATTTAGAAACGCACGTTTATTCCGTTATAATCGAATAAGATAATTGCCAAGCAAGGCTATTTTGACTTACAATTAGTGTTAAAACTCAATTGGATTCCAATTAATTAACATTTATCGATAACAGTTCGATTGCTTGAGAATAATCAATTAAAAAACTTTAATATACATTACATTCATAAATTGTGCGATTAATTCTTTTAGCCGAATATCTTTATTTTTATTTTGCCATTAATAGAAAAACAATGCAGGGAAAATTTAAGAGCATTCAATAATTGAGCGGCTTCCGACACTGTCGATGTCCGTATTAAGCTATGCGACACGCGTGAACTAGGTATCACGCAATTGCTGTTTTCCGCGGAAGACACGCCCTATGCTACGCGCGAGATGCAGTCCCAAATAGCGCGTTATTTATAATGCGCGCAGTTGAGTTGCTATCGCTAGTTGCATTGAGCGTATAGAGTGAGGGATTTGTGAAATTATTCACAATTCCGATCGAAAACATCTGAGTTCTCAAGAGTTGTATATCGTATATGTGCTTAGACAATCTCTTTTGAAATTTAGAATCATAATATACGAAAAAATGTTAAGCAAATAGATCATTTTTAGAGAATAAATCAAGAATTTTTGAGAATGTTGAAGGGTGCTATTTAAAGTTTAAAACTTGAGGTGTAATATAAAAAATTCAAAGTTACATGTGTTATATAAGGCTAGAATAAATTTTCTCTCTCTCTCTCTCTCTCTCTATCTCGAATTTGTAAAATACTTTATTCTTGTAAATTATGATGCTCGACAAGTCAGGGATATATTTTTGACGTAAGGAATGAGCGTGAAAATCTCCTTTTCTATATCTTGCGAGTACCAAAATTAAAAAATATTTTGAAGCTAGAACCAATTTTCAATCTTAATTTTTTAGAATTATATAGGATTTTATAAGATATTTTACTCTTGTAAACTATGATATCCTTGTATAATTTTGTTAACTAGTCTCTTCTAAATTATAATAGATACATTAATTTTTTATGTTATTAAATGGTAATGCAGTGCTAGTTTAACGCTGAGCTAGCATCCCCATTTTTTATCGTAAATTTCTACTACATGGCTCGAACACTAAAAGTAAAAGTAGAGCAAAAGTAAATAGCACTAAATTTTAGTTGGTCTTATTTCAATTTTTGTAACAGAGATGCTAGTTTAACAGACATGTTTAAAACATTTATATTTTTTCGGGATTTAATTTCTCTTTATAGACTTATGAAAAACAAATTTGCAAATCAATTGACAAACAATAGACAACTGAGCAGCAAACCAAAATCATAAAATTTTATGAATAATGTTATTATTTTTATTTATTTAAATTCAGCATTTGATTGACCACCACAATCACCAGGTTTAATAGTCCTCGACTGTTTCTTTTGAGGCTATTTAAAGGAAAAAAATCTATGTTAATAATCTAAAAACTATTCAGAGGTTAAAGTACACATATAATACTAAAGGCAAAAATAAAAACACTAGATATCCTGCAAAATGTTATGCAGACTGCTATTAAAGAGCCGGAATTTATGAAGTTAGAAATAATTATTTTTGAAAGAAACATTTCCAACTTTTTCCATACATTTTCCAAACATAGTTTAATATAATATCCATCGTTTCTATATTATATTAAGAATAATAATTAAAATAAATAAAACGTAAAAAATATAAACACTTTAAATATTTTTATGACTTTTACACCTATATATTATATGTATGCTTATAAAGAAACTTTTACAAACATCTGTGGATAATTATTGTTTTATAAACTTGATATTTCAAAGATTCATTTCTCAAAGATGAGAAACTTTATAGAAATAATGACCATTATGTTTATTTAGATTGTATATTTTAAAACTTTGTGTTTAAAATAAAATGAATGTTTAGACCTTAGAGAGAGAAAAATAGCAAAAATATATAGAAAAGTGCGCACACAAACGCGTGATATACACAACTTATATACACATATCTCGCTAACAATAAGTAGCTTTTTTTCTTTTTTTATAATTGAACTCCCTTATAATTTTCTTGCACTTTTTACATTTAAAAAGAAACAACTAAACTCATGCTTTAAAATATTTATATTACATTATTATATTTTTTGCGAGAAAAGAAGAAAAAAAAATATAGCAGAATGTAAAAAGTGTAGTTGAAGAGTACAAATTCAGAACCAACATTACCTGTTCGTCGCTGCAAGCTTCTCACTGTTCCGTCCATCGATATTCCGAAATCACGATGCTTCTTCCCTCCTCGTCTCCTTTTGTCTTTCTTTGAAGGATTGATATAGCTACTATCTTCCCTTCTTCCTTTCTAACGCTCTTTCTTTCACTCACTATTAATGAAATGCGGCTCCTTGTTTCACATTTTCACGATGTGCATACACTTATCGTTTCTAAACAAGCAACAAATTTCCAGCGACTACGACGAGTCGCTTTCGTTGCTCGCTACAAGAACCCGCACTCTTTATTAAATCTTTGCACTTGTGCTTGTCGGAATAGATGGTACATCGTTGATGTTACGACTCTACTAGACTCAACCACTCAACCACATACGGCCACGAATGAAAGATAATACAAGAAAGGCTTATTTCTTCGAGTATTGTTCCTGCATGTGGTGCCCTCTAAATAGAAGTCAGCGTTGGAAGACATCACGTGACTAAAAATAACCAATCGTTGCAGCAGTTTTTGGTCACATGATGTTTTCTAAGGGTGCCGTCACATACAGCCCGTAATCCGTAATCCGCACCGGAAGTTCGCAAAAGTTAAGGCGGGAGCACAGACTTTTGCATAAAGCATAACGCATAAGCATAAGGAAATTGATTGGTCCGTTTCCTTATGCATTTGCTTATGCTTATATATAGACCAATCAATTTCCTTATGCTTATGCGTTATGCTTTATGTAAAAGCTTGTGCTCTCGGCTTTACGGATTACGGGTTCTATGTGACGCCGGCCTAACACTGCAATTGAGCGTCAGCGTGAAAAAAACACCTTTAAGAATACAGGCAGGCCAAAAAATTCGATTTATTCCAATCATTTTTCATTCATTCGTTTTATTCAAGATTGAAATTTGACCAATCGAAACAAAAGAAACTAAAAGTGTTTTGTCCTAATTGGTCAAATTTCAATCTTCTATCTTCAATGCGTAGTCTGATACGGGCTTTATGCGATTGCGTTGTGTTGTGCACGTGCGCATATCGCTCAATGCTTTTATGCCGAGAGAGAAAATATGATATGTTTGCACCGTAATATTGCCCACGTCTTTTCAGGCAGTATATACTTTATAGGTATATGATTCCAATATATATATAGTTCAGTGAACAAACGTCCAAGAAGCATTTTTAGCTCGTACTCGTATTTCGGACATAGCAATTGTAAAAAGAGACAAGAATCGCAAGAGTGTCTGTCCTTGTTATCCGGAGTTTTTTAGTTTCCCCGCATGAGGTTATCAAAATCAGTTCGGACTCGGACCGTCACTCTTGTCGACCTTTAATAATAGTTTATCAGTGACAGAGTTTAATGGTTGGCGCTGTTAGCGCTTACGTGACTAATATGGTAGTGGTGATAGTGTTGGATAGTGTAATTGCATTGTGATTTGAGGGTTTTCATTATCAACGCGTGAAACAAGCGACATAAATGATAGTCTTGTCAAATCGTGGAGTCAACATTAAGAAAACATGCGATGAAAAATGAAGCCCTTGGTCGTGCGCGATGCGTTTCTCATGCATTGATATTTAGCGTGAAGCTTAATAAACGTGCGAGCCCGGCTGTGTGTAGTACGCGTTATTTGACATTGTATATGCCAATTGTCAGTTGGTGATATCTGTCACACCCTGTCTTTTACGCATTGATCTTAGTTGCAATCGCTGTGGCACTATGTTCGCCACCTTGAAGAACAAGATACGCGAGGAGATTGGCAGTGACGTGTCTACCGTCGTCAAAAATGCCGGGAATATACGCGCCATCAATTCTAGACATGTGTCTCAGGTAAATACAGTTTTGTATTTATCTGGATATTATCAGTGTACATTTCGAGTCTTAACGATAGATTGTGTAGATAGAGTTCAATCTGATTAATCTCTAGAGAAGCTAATTTTTATCTTTTGTTGGCTTATGTTATACATTTAAAAATATATTTAGATATCTTCTAATCTATATTAATATTATTATCATAAGTAAATGTAAATATAAGAATTCTCCTACATTAGTTATATTTCCAAAAAGTAATATGGTTCATATGACATAAGATGATGGAATAAGCTTTCATATGCTTCTATTTTTAAGTTTCACTTTTAAGTCGAGTGGATTGATTTAAATGGAACACCCTATAAAAAATAACTAGAAAAACTAATTTCTTAAAGAAAAGTTATAATTTTTTTTTTTTTAAATGTATTTTAAAGTTGAAATGTTCTCAATGTTTTATGTTCTTGAATTTTATTTGTGTATTATACAAAAAATGAGTGAATTATTCAATTTTATTATATAGATCTTCTGATATTGATAATATTCTTATTGTTACAGACAGGTTCTACAAGTAGTATTAGTGGTTCTCAGGTATCATTAGATGGATTCAGAGAAGATACAGCATCTCCTTTACCACAACTTTCACCAAAGAGAGAGAATAGTTTTGAACTTAAACTGAATGACGGAATGCAATTATCAGCAAAAGACATAAAAAGATTTGAAAGTAGAGAAGATGAATGGAGAAAACGTCTGGCAAAGAAAGAGGCAGAAATGTTAAAGCAGATGGAGAAAAAAGAGGAAGAATGGAAAATCAAGCTTTTTGAGAAGGAAAAAGAATGGAAAAAAGTTGTAGAAAAACAAGAAAAAGAAAAACGAAAATTAGAAGAAGAGATGAAGAAAATAGAAATTACAAAACAATCTTTAGAACATGCTCTTCAAGATGCGGAAGGTATTTCAAAATATTAGAATTTTTAAGATGTTTATTTTTATTTAAAATGTGTGTATACATATGTACTTACAAGTGTATACAAAAATTTTACACTGCATTATTTTCTAGAGTATAAAAAAAAGCTATACAGCTTTCAAGAAGATGCAGAACAACTGGAAGGTTTTCAAACACAAGAAATGGCAAAAGTTAAACATCTCGTATGTTTGATTAAAATAACAATTTATATATAAGTCATTGTTCTATATTTTATTTTCTTTATTCTATATATTGTCACAATTCCATATAGCAACAATTCATATTATTGTATAGAATTTTTTGTATTAACAATCGGATTTCTTACTTTTTATTACTTTCTTTATTGTAATTTGCTTCTTTTAATTAAATATTTACTCATAAAATAAGATTAAAAGAGCTTAAAGAGCCAACGCTAGGTCTTAGTGCAAAACAGCTATATTCTATTATAAAGAAATGATGTACACAAACGTTTTAGCCTGTCATCAGGCCATCTTCAGTGCCACGTGAATAAATAAAATTAATATAAACGTATAATGATCATTACAATAAGATGTTTCATTAAACGATGTAAATTATACAAAATAACAAACGTGCTTTAGAACGAGTATAATAAAACGCAATAGTTCGCTTGTATCGCATTAGATAGAGAAGAGTTCAAATTAGTATGCTGTATGCCACAGAACAGAGTATAAAACTGCTGCAATATTGGATGAGTTAAAAAATTTTGATAAGTTTACAAAAAAATGCTCTATATCACTGTCATCAACGCTCTAAAGAGTGGAAGGGTTGATAATACGTGTTGTTTAATCACAGATTCGAATGTTAACGCTCGATATATATTATAATAGAATATAGCTGTTTCGCGCTAAAACCTAGCGTTGACTCTTTAAGCTCATTTAATCTTACTTTATGATTTTTCAATCGGTAGAGCCTTATTAACTTTGTTTTAAATGTTTACTTTTATATAATAATTCTTTACTAATAATTACTTCATAGTGTTGAAATAATATGACACAAACTTCTTAAAAATTATTTAATCAATAAACTTAAAGTTATTATTTAATTTTTAAAATAAAATAAAAGCTTGTCTAAAAATTTTGTTCAGTATTATGTTATTTTTTTACACAAGAAATCACTCATTTTCCAGTTGCATTATCACTTTTATCATCTGTATACATTTAATTGTTATTACTTTTATGTTACACTATATCTTGCTAATTAACAGATTAGATTAAGCATAAAATATTCATTTTTTTCAGTTATTAGCAAAAGAACAGGAAGTAGAAGAAAAATCACATCACTTAAAAGCTGCCACAGCAGAAATAGAAACTCTGAAGACAGAAGTTTCTCGTCTTAGACGATATGAAGATGAGTTAAACAATGTACAAGTGAGTAACTTGATTGAAACTTTATACTTATTTAATTCAAGTTGGAATAATTATTTACATAACTCATCTGTTGATTTTTTCCACATTTTATTACGACATTAAAATATTTTCAATATTATTTAAATATAAAATATGCCATTTTAAAGAAGAAAGAGAAGGAGAAATATTCAATTAAATTGAGTTTTAATGAGTTAGACTAACTAAAAAGTTAGTCGTGCTCATCTTTTATCAATTTACAAGTTATTCGATTGTTTGAATCAAAATGAGAACATCTTTTGTATGTATGGTTCCATTTTAAATAAAGACCTCAAATATCTTGGAATTCGATAGAAATATACAAAAATGTTTTAGACAAAAGTTGTGTAAGACTTAAAACAGGAAAATGAGATAATATTGGCTTAATCTTGGGTAGACTTTTAAAGATCAGGTTTTTTCAAATAGAAACCCTCAAATTTTATTACAGATTCTTGTAATTAATGTCGAGATATTTACAAAATGGTGTGACTTTCTAATTAAGAATCTTTAGTTAAACCTTTCTTTGTTCAAAATTTTCTGAAACAATTTATATTTATCATTATAATACTTTTTGATAAAATATTTAAATCTTTCATCCAAACATCGCAGGAATTTTTTAACGAAAAAAAACCTAATTATAAATTATACCATTGTGAAAATGTTTTGACACACACACACACACACGCACGCACACATAGCTACAAGAATACACAACTTTAAAAAAAATAAGGATTTTTATTTAAAAAAATTAAAGGTACCTTGTAGTCTTGACACTATTATTCAGAATTAAATAAAGATTATAATTTTTTGTTACTCTAAAATTAATCAACTTTTGTTGAAAATATTTGTTTGAAAAATGTATTGATTTCATGAAATTTGTTACCAAATATTTTTAGTGGGTATTTGAGGTGGGTCATTCTCTATGTACAATATACGCGCGCGCATATATTTGTGCGTGCGTGCGTATGTGTGTGTGTATGAGTGCGCGCGCGTGTATAAATATAAAATATGACTTGCAAGCTTCTATATCAATTAAAAGACAGTACTATATTATTGCGATACAACTTTTAACACATTTCTTATGTGATACGTCAAGAATAGTGTATAAGTGCCAATATTAAATCTGATCCTTTATTTTTCTTGCAGTTATATGTAAGTCAAATATAATATTGATATAATTACATAAATCAGTTATACGCAATAAATTATGATTGACAGATGCTCAGTTATGCATTTCCTAAGCACGCTTGTTTGTAAGGATTTTATATTTATATAATTTTTTTATTTGTATTTATGTTTTTGATTATAACATTACGCTTTTTGTTTCGTCACAGTTTGCCTTATATTTCTCTGCACTTTTTTTTGTCGACACGCTGCTCAACGTTTAAATCATTACATATACATACATATATTATATATGTGACTCTTGCCATAGTGGAACCACGTTCGAGTTAAAATTGTTGAGTTTACTTCAAGAGTTACTCGTGTAACTCTTAACGTCGCATGACAACGCTACTTTTCTAATGTTTTAATTTTTTTCTTTTTTGCTGCGCTGCGTTCAATCAACCTAATTGGAAAATTTTTAAAACTAATTGGTTAAACGTTGCTGGTGTATATTCACGAAAGACTTATTTTTGCGAATTGTTAAAAAAGTGATAATAAAAAGTTAAATGCATCGTACTTCTTGGCCCAAAAATAACTGACATTGTTGCGAACCGATCCCACTTTTGGGATTCGTCGTCACATATCTTCCGCATACGCTCGCAGTATCGTCGGATACAATGGGTGATGTTTTCCTAGAATTTTCCTAGACGGAACAGCAACGTTGCTAAAAGTGATACTGAAAGTTCCGTGAACGCAACGCACGCATGAAGATTGGAAAACTTTGGTAAACGAGAAACATCGGAGATCAGAGTTAGGCGGTTATTTCCGCTAATTCGCTGCTGCTACCGCTGACGCTAGAGGTACGTTTTCAAAGCTTTGCCGCTATTCCGCTAGATTAGAATGTTCGTCCAGTAGTCTCTCTACGCTTACGCCTGCTTCAACATACATACATTTCGGATATATATATATATATATATATATACTGATGGACTCATCGATTTTTTTATTTCAAATAAAACTATAAATTCTAAAAGTAATATAAAAATGTACTTATTTCAACAGAAATAAGAAAAAAAAAAACATTTAGAAAACAATGGAATGTTCATCGTTTAACGGAATCCAAATGGAATCCATTTAATTATGACGTCAAGATCCTCCTATTCTTATGAAGTCGATACTCGCATTTATTGTTGCCTCTTTTCCGTGATACTGATTGGTTATCTCGATACGCATTGTGCGTTACTCCATGCTATCGAGCAGTTGTCATTGTGAAAGTTGCACACTTTGCACAGTTCATATTTTGAGAAGGTTAATGCATATATTTTTTTATTACTTTTGTGTTTTGTAGAAAATATTCGAAATGTCTTCTTAGGTAGAGTTATATAATATGTATACATATATTTCTTTGTAATCAAATGAATAAATAACGTGTAACTCGCGCTTTTGTGTGTGTCTAGTATAGTAAAACTTCTATTGCATTAATATAGATCGAAAAGAGAGTATGTACCGATCACATGCGATTGTGCTCTTGTGTTTTTCTGTAGTGTAAACTTATTTCATGTGACATTAACCAATAAAAGCGCGAGAATGTGACATTAAAAAAATTTTTGATGATTTTTAATTAATTATTTGATATATACATGTATTGTATAACATTTGTTTATGCAATGTATCCAACACTTACTATCTAAACTTGACCAAGAAATTTAAAAAAATTTTTTTATGAATGAGTCCATTTTTCACGATCTACACGGACGTCATAATATTATATTAAACAAAGATTGATACGATTTTTATCTAACAGTTGACAATAATACACGTATTATACACTTAACTGTGGCACAATCTCAGAAATAGTTTAATATTTCTATTTTACTTTTTTTTTCTTTGTTTTCCCTTTTATTATTACTTTATATCTTTTTTTTATATCTTTTAATTATACAAATTAACTTCATTAAGTTAGTTTTGATGCTTTATATGCAGGAAATGCGAAAAGATTTATAATTTATGTCTTTAGCATGTAACTAAACTATTAATTCAAAAAATTTGAAACTGATATTCACTCTCAGCAAGCGTCAATTTACATAAATATTGCTTTTTGTCTGCCTTTTCGTATTTCTGTTTTATATCAGATAAGTCATTCTCTCTTATTCCTGATTCGGCAAAATTAGCGCCTTGTCGCTTTGATGAGACTCACCAAGGACGCTTTGTAAGAAAATTAAAGCTAACAAGTATAATCTTAATAAAAATCTAAGAAGCGCGACGTTAAATAACCATGCACTCGCTTTCAGGATGAAATGGAGACGATGCGCCATTCCACGCAACGAGAAAGAGCGCAGCTTTCTTGCCAGCTGGCGCAGACGGAAGAAGAGGTACGTCACTTGAAAGACAAGATGTTTATGCTGGAACAGCGAATCGCTTTGGAGACGAATGATCAAGTAACAGTCGATGAGAGAATAGCCGATCTGATGCGTGAGAGGACATTGCTGGAGAGAAAACTGGAAGAGGCACATCTCCATCTTTCCGACATAAAGACCAGTTGGTCAGGCAAGATTTCCAGCCTTGAGACACAAGTTGGCAGGCTTAGCAGACAAGCCGGCGAAGAAGGGCTGGAACGTAGACGAGTCGAAGAAGAGAAGGGCAAACTCAAACAGAAAATCAAGCAGCTGGAAGCTGAGATAGAGATGAACAATGTTGTAATAGCAACAAAAGACGCCAAGCTTTTACGCATGACAGAAGACATCGACGAGATGGCCACGGAACTGAAAGAGCTCCGGGCTAGCGTCGATGACGAGGTGGAAGAATTTAAACGGCAAATCGTGAGTTACCACGATGTGTAGCGATCAAGTTGCATGAGTTAGATTGTCTATTACTGAAATTTTATTCCAAATTCCGATTCTAGAAAATTGTTTCTAGAAACGGTAGGTATCGTCACGAACGATCACAATGCCGAACTATCTGTAATGTACGGAACTCACTATTGTTCATGTGATCCCGAATATAATTTTCATATTTGCAATGTAATAATCCTCATATGTAGTATACAATTTTTTATTCTCACCGAAGACTGTATTCCGTCATTATTTCGGAGAAAATGTTGTTTCTAACTGTTAAATACGTTTAACAGTACTCTTTTTATTTGTTTTTTAACTCCTTAAATGTTAATGATGCATATATACATCATTTCATCAAAAGAAGTATTTGCATATATAGAATTTTCGCAAAGTAGTATGTTTTTGGGCTCGCTGAATTCATCTTTGGTCGAAATTTTCGAATTCAATGTAGTAGGTTTAATATAGCAGACTTAAATTTCAAAAATTCTAGTCTTATTTATTCTGATCTCATCAAACTTTATTTTTATAGTTATTTTTAGATATTTTTATATTTTTCTAAATTGAATCCAACATGAAAATTCTTAAGTTTAGGGGAAAATACAGCACAAAATAAAATTTATTAGGTTAGATTAGACATCTTGTTTTCTGGGCTATCGCCATCAATGCCAATCCATCAAATAACCAATAAACTTTTTCCCTGATTTTAACCAAATCTTTTCTATCCTATCCATTCTATTTTTAACCTATTCATATTGACTAGACTGCCCCTTTTCTTAAATTTTATAATTTAAAATTTTACAACACAAATAGCATATAATGGAAAGGTTCATATATATTAACCATCAAATAATATAATAGAAGGACATTAAGAGCCGTCGCGGGATGTTAGTGCGAAATTATTTAATTTTTCTTAAAGAAATTAATTTATTAGTCTACGTGAGACAGTTAATTTATACACCGATCTCTGGTTCGAGATACTTAGGCCGGTATTCATAGTCCGTTCTTATATTTAAGATTGTCTTAAATATTGTCTTAAAATGCTACGAACCAATCAAAAAGCCATATTAGTATCTTAAGACGACGATGACGACGACGTAAGACGATCTTAAATATAAGAAATGACTATGAATACCGTCCTTAGAGTGTACGAAAAGTTCTCACATATGGAGAATCATTATGTACTGATAGGAATTATTGGAAAGAAAGGAAGAGAGAGAAAAAATATCAGGGCGCGAGTAGTGTACACTCTAAGTATCTCGAACCAGAGATCGGTGTACAAATTAACTGTCTCACGTAGACTAATAAATTAATTTCTTTAAGAAAAATTAAATAATTTCGCACTAACATCCCGCGACGGTTCTTAATGCCTTTCTATTATATTAAAATTTTACTTTTTTATTATTTATTGTGAAACTTTATGTGTATATCACATTTATAAATTAAGTGCCAACTATTTTTTAATTTAATTGAACTTTATCTGAAGTTTTTATTTTTTATTCTTGAAATATACAAAATTCATATTTTACTTTTTAAATTGAACATTCTTAAAACTCTTGGAAAGCGTTTCATATAAAGTCTATTGTTTGAATTTCAATCAATACATTATATTACAATATATTGTAATTGTACAATATATTGTGTTGGGATTCGGAATTCCAAAATTTTGATTGCAGATTTTAATTCAGCATCTCAAAAAACCTTAATTTTACAATCTTTACATAAATTTAATAATTTTTTCATAAAAATTTTTTATAATAAATATTTTATTAAATATTTTAGATAATGTGAAATAGGTTTATTTCTTAACAGTTAAGGGGTTAATGTATCGAAAGAAACAAGAGGTATATAATATGTATTTTCCCTATACTCTTGTCAACAATTGGCAGCTTTGGTCTTTTTTTTATTTTTGTTATGTTGATTTCCAACGATGTTCATAGAATGTTAGCGCAGTCGCTTGGTTCATAAAATCTTGTAAGATTGACAAATTTTCTAATTCTTAAATATATTCACATAACGTTTACTATGTATATTTTTTTTCACAAAATTTTTTAAAATATTTTCTAATTTTGAAATATAGTGTGAAATATAGTGATATGATGATAAAGCAATTATAGCAAGATAGATTGTTCTAAAGAAGATATTACGTTATCAATGTTTATAACTTTGGCTACTATTTTGGCAACTATCTTGTTAAAACTAACTAAAACAAAATAGATATGATATAATATATATACATGTTGCGTACAGCACAATATTGTTATTTGTTTTCAAATTTGTATAATAAAGTTTTCAATAGAACAAATTCATTGTAATCTTAAATAACTCATATCGACCGAATTCATAGAATACCAACTATATATTTTATATCAAGCAAATGTTGCTATTTAATTAATGATGTTTAATTACATCTCACGTTAATGTATAATAACTTGAGTTATTATCTCTGTCTTCAATTGCACACTACTCGAGAGCATCGAACTGAATCATCAACTAGACGTCTGTACTCGTTTGTACTTATACTTATTTACATTATCTCTGTTGTTTCATTATCGTGATCAGAAACTAAACGTATCTTGATATTATGTCCGAAAATTATATATCTTAATTATATATGTTCAATTATATGCTATTCGGAAGCTTGACATGTTTTGCTTGATGCACATTTTATCTTTTAATTCGTACTACACTTTTTTGACCTACATTTTTATTTTAACATAAATATTTTATTTGTATTTTTTGCAACATTTTTATTATTATTCGAAGCATGTTAAAAATTATTCGAATATTTTGGGAAGATCGTTGTTGAAGGAATGCATAAGTGATTCGTAGAACAGATTAATTTATATTGAGAATAGTATATATCTTCCTTTGTACATTATCTTTATATGATTGCACTTTATGTACGTTTTATTTATCGAATAAAGAAAGAAATATATAATCTTTTGCGTTTTACTCATTTTTGTTTTTCTCTCACCACTTTTTATTTCCGAATGCTTTGTTATTAATACCTCATCATTCTCATAATATCCAAACAAATTTATTTTAAAATTATCCTGCTAAAGATAATTTAATTTAAAATTAGTGAAAAATAAGGAAAGAGGGAGAGATTTTTATAAATATATCAATACATCACTTGCATAGATTTATGCTATTAGAAAAATCGAACGTCATTTTATGTTAAAAATATTGAAAAAATATATTTTATTTACAAATTAAAAGAAAAATTGTTTCCAAAATCTATCGAAAAATTTATGATTGAAACCAGAGCCAACCCTAGATTCTATAGCACCCCAGTGCAATTTTTATATCAGCGCCTCTCATCGATGCCACAATGTTTTAAGAAAAAGAGTAATATCACTGTCTCATCAATTGTGTCTGAATGCAGATTGCGACAAAATGATGTCTTCAAGTATCAATTCAAATAAATTTGTATTTGTCGTTTTTTTTAGGAGTCCTCTTCGAAACAAATTACACAGCTGAAGTCGAATCTTAAAAATGTGACAAACAAGCTTACCGCAGCCACCAATGAAATAACGAATCTTCGAGTGTCCTTGGAGAAAGAACAGTCAAGTAATTCCTCTTTGCGCGCGGAACTAACACATTTGCGAGAGATAACCGAATCCGAACGTGTAACAACAGCGGAGCTGCGAGTATTCTTGGAGAAAGAGAAGGGTGAAAAGGATGCCGCCCTGCTGAGGAATGCCCAGGTGTCGCAAAACATAGAAATCGTAAAGCAAGAGAATCGGCAGCAAGGGATTGAAAATATTGAGCTGCAGAGTAGACTCGAGAATCTGGAGGATGATTTAATTAGTAAGACGAAAGAAGTAGAGCAAGCAACGATCACATTGAAAGAGTTTGAACAAAAAGTCGCGAAATTGGAAGAAGCAGATCGTAACAGAGAAAAGTTGGAAGGGAACGAGAGAATACTTAAAAGCAGTTTGCTGGATCTGCAAGAGCAATTAATTGAGAAGAATAAGGTGATTACAAATATAATAAAGCCTCCCAGGAAGAGAAGGGAGGGTATACAAATAAACTATGTCATTTAATTTTTATTTTACTTTTTTAGACAATCAAAATTCTGCAACAACGATTAACTGACATGAAAAAAACGCTTCAACGCGAACTGAAAATCCCTTCTTCATCGTTGGATAGCGACGTTGAAGCTTCTGCCGCTATTCTTAATCCGAGTTCAACTAAAACTGTCACTGCCAGACATAATAATTCCAGGGAGGATGATGTTAATTTTAAATATCTCAAGCATGTTCTCATCAAGTTTCTCACCAGCAGAGAATATGAGGTGCATATTTACTTAGATCCAAGTTATATTCTCTTTGTAATATAAAAAAAAATTTTTTTTTTTTTTAAGGCTCTCCATTTAACAAGGGCGGTGGCGACATTGTTACACTTTTCGCCAGAGGAAGAACGTCTACTTCAAGAAACTCTAGAATGGAAGATGTCATGGTTTGGTACTAGGCCTAACTTAGGATTCGGACAAACTGCCAAGGCGATTCCACCTAGTTGATAATTAGAAAATGTTTCGTACTTCAAAGAATTCATGAGAGTAAATGAAAATTCTTGATAAAGTTTAGTTGGTTTGTACACAAGGACGACTGATTCAAGGGGCATGAAATAATTAGCGAAAATATATAAAATTATAAATCTCTCGTGATTTTACAAATTTTAATGCGCGTATCTAACATTTGCGTAAACATAAATCAATTACCACATGCTCAAAAAATACACATGGAACGTTATTAGGATAAAGGATGATTGTAGATATTGTGAGAACTGATTCATGTCGAAGATTTATCATTATGTGCTGTGATGCTTAGTGCAATTTGGGACGCTTAAAAGAATTCCAGCATGATGTGTATAGTAGTATTCAACATTTGTGCACGCTTGTGCCGTGATACATATGCAATTTTTATATACAATTGTCATAATTTATAATTTGTTTTTGTCAGGTAAAAAAATATACGCGCGATATTCGCCACAGTAACGTTAGCTTGATCATTGTTTGCTGTTTGTTTATTTTTACACACAAGTGTCACGGAGGAAGAATACTTTCGTGCAACAAATCAACAGCCATATCTTTGTATTAATAAAGCATTCCCGATTACATAAATTATCTGTATATATATAATCTTTATTCTTCAGCTTTTGCCAAGAAGGTTACAATGTTGGTTACAATGTTTCTAACACACTCATTCGTCCATACCTCGCACTTTTCCTATCTTACATTACTATACTATACTACAATATCATACACTATAACACAGTACAATTACTCCTTTCATTACCTTACACTTTACTCCATCTTTCTTTTGCCTTATTTACATTACCTTACAATATTTCTCTTTAATCTTTCTTCCTATTTATTAATAACTATTTTCTATTTTCGTACTTACATTCTACATTTTTTACATTTTACATTCCTTGGTTCTTTAATCTTTCTTTAATTTACTTTGGTTTTCCTTGCTCTTTTTTTCTACTAATTCGTCAGTCCTATTTTCTTTACTTTTATTTATTTCCTTTACTCTTATTTCTACCCATCATCGCCACTTATTCCTTATCCGCATCCTATATCTCCTCCACCTGTTCCACATAATCCGACCTTCCTAATCTTTTCTTTATTCTGCTTTCTTTTTCTTTCCACAGTTTTACTAAAATCTTCCTTCTTTTCTCCTTTAACTCCTCATTCCACATTTTTCTTAACTTTTCCTCTGTATTATTACCTAATTCTTTGAACCATTCTTTCACCTCTGCACATTCCTCTACATAATGCTCTATTTTATCTTGTCCTATTCCGCAAAACATATAAAATTTACACTTTTCTCTTAGCCAATATTTATTACTTTCTTCCATATTGCCACACTGTAACCTTATTAAAGCTCTTACCTCATCTCCTATCCTATTACTATTTACTTTTTCTCGTCTTATGTAACTAGGTTTTCCTAATTCCTTAGCTTTCCTATTATACCTTGCCTCTCTTATTCTACTTTCCTCCATTTGTCTTTGTAAATCTTTTTCCCTTTCTATAATCATATTTTCTATTCTTATTCCTTTGTTTCTCATCTTCTCTATTGCCGCTATACCCCATCCATTCCTATTAAGGTATTTTTCCTTCTCTCTACTGTATAGCTCTTTCTTTTCCATGTTTTCTTTTTCTATCCAGCATTTTTTTACTAGCTTGTCTTCCCCTTTTTCTCTTATCTTTTCCTCAAGTTTCCACGCTCTTATACCCCATCTAATCTTTAATTTTTCTAATCCTAACTCTTTTAATATTACGTATCTTGGTGTACAGAAATCCAGTCTATATCCATCTGCCATAGTCTAACTTTTCAAGTCTTATTTTTTCTAACTCCTTTTTTTCCTCCCATCCCCATATTTCCACTCCATATGATATCACACTTTGTATTAAATATTTAAATAAAGTCCAACGTCTTTTAAAATCATCCCTACATATTCTTCCTCCTAACCCCCACACCCTATTTGCCGCTATCCTCCCTTTCTTTTTTAATTCCTTTATATATGCTCTATAATTCCTTTTCTTATTGAACGTAAATCCTAAATATTTAAAACTTTTTACCTCTTCTATTTTCCTATTACCCTATTTCCATTGTTCTCTTCCCTCTTTCTCTTTACTATTAAACACTAATACCTTTGTTTTTTCCGCGCGCGCGCGCGTACATAACTCTAGTTTCCTTTTTAAAAATCTTTTTAGCGTATCTGTCATATCTTTTAGTGCGACCTTGTTCTTTGCTAACAATATCATATCATCTGCTAGTGGCCATAATTTTTCCTTTCCTAACATTAACCCTCCTATACCTCTCTTCGCAAGTTCCTTATCTATATACACAATATACATCCTAAATAGGGATGGACTCATTACACAACCTTGCCTCACTTCTTTCCTTACTTTGAAGCCCCTCGTAAATCCATTCTTTGCTCTTATCTTTACTTCAGTTTCTTAGTAGACTCTCTTTATCCTTTCTATCAGGCCCTTACTCATCTCTTTATCTTTCAATATATTCCATAGAACTTCTCTATTTACATTATCAAATGCTGCCTTCAAGGCATTAACTATAAATAACGCATATACCTTTCCACCTTCTTTACCTTGCTCTTCTTCCCTCTGTACTATGTGATTTTATATATATATATGTTGTCCAGTGTAGACTTGTTGACAACACTCCTGTGTTGTCTTCTTTTCCTAAATCCCGCCTGACTTTTCGGAAGCATTCCCTTTTCTTCTATTTCCCTTTCCATCCTGTTTCTTATTATCTCTGCATATATCTTGTAAGCCGAGCACAGCAATGAAATACTGCTGTAATTTTCCACTTTTTCTTCTTTACCTCTTTTATACAAGGGTACTATTATACTCTTTCTCCAATCATCTTGAATTTGTTCTTCCTTCCAGATTTTCTTTATAATTTCCATTAATCCTTTCTTTACTGCTTCTCCCCCGTACCTCCAAGCCTCCATAGTCAATCCTCGCAGCCTTTTTCATTTTCATCTTGATAACTGCATTCCTTATTTCTTCATCTTCTAATTCTATCTTCTGTTCTTCCTTTTCTATTATCTATAGAAATATATACTATCTATATTATATATTTTCTACATTACCCATGTCCATAATTCCATTGTTTCTTACTTCTTCTGTTTTTTCCTATACTTCTTAGTAAATTTATAAAATACCTTCTCCATTCTTCTTTCCCTATATTATTTTCCTTCCATTCTCTCTTTCTTCTTTTCCTATTAATAAATTTCCATATCTCAGACTCCTTTTTAATACTTCTCAATTCTTTTTCCTCCTCTTCCCTTTTTTCTTTTCTCTTTCTCTCCAGGAATTCTCTCAATCCTTTCCTATGCTCGATATACTCCTCCTTTATTTTCCCTTTTCTGCACATTCTGTATTTTCTTTTGACCTCTCTTTTCCTCTTCGTACAACTTCTGTCTCACCAATCCTTGTATTCTATTTCCTTTTTGCTAATCTTCTTTTTCTTATATATCATTGACCCGCTTACTAAGTCTTTGAGCTTCTCCCATATTTTATCTACTGCTTCCTCTTCTTGCCCTTTCGCCCATCCTATCTCGTTTGTTCTGTCTTGATAGGCTTTCTTCGTTTCTGTGTCCCAGCAAATTACCTCCTTTTCTTCTGTCTTCCCTTTTCCTCTTCTTTCTTCTATCGTTTCCAATTCTAGGCTTATGGGCAAGTGATCTGAGTTTACCCTTTCCTCAATTCTAAACTCTAACTTGTTTCTTGTACTTTCTCATTCACAAATACATAATCTATAACCAAATTTCCTCTTGCTTCTATATATTTGCCTTTCCAATCGCCCCTTGTTTTTCCATTCAATACATTAAATCCTCTTTCCTGCATCATTTCTATTAATTTCTTGCCTCCATTCTCTATCGTTTTATCCTTACTTCTTCTTGCAATACCTTCCTCCTCTTCCCCATCTAATTCTCCTATCCTTATATTAAAATCTCTCCCCATGATTATACCTTCATTTCCATATTCCTCTGTCAATTTCATAATCATCTCTCCTATGTCATTCCTATATATAGAGTTATATATCACTATTATGTTCATTATCTCTGTTTCTTCTTTAACCCTTATATGCACTATACCTTTTACTTTTTACCTCTGTTTCTATCATTTCCCAGTCTTCCTCTCCCCATTCCTTATTCTTACCTACAATTATTTCTCCTATCGCTCTGTCTTTTTTTCTTTTTTTTCTCCGCATGCCTACTTAACCAATGGTGTTTCCGGTACCCTCTTTTTCATATTATTCCACTCATTTTCATTTACCCATGTTTTACATAAACCTATATAATCATACCTTTTTATGTAGTTCCAAAATTCTTTGTTCTGCCTCTCTAATCCCGCCATATTCCAAAATACTAACTTCAATCTTCGCTTCCTTTTACCTTCTTTATCTTCCCTAGTTCCTTTTTGGCTTAAACAAAATTTTTTCTTGTATTTACCCCTTTTTTTACCTCTCCTGCCTCTCTCCCCTCACCCGTTCTTCCTTGTTCCTCTATGTTTTTTTCTACTTCTCCCCAAAATTTCCAGATCCCCTTCACTCTTACTTTACCTAGCCCAATCTTTACATCCTCTTCCTTAATCTTTTCTTCTTTTGCCCACCTAATAATTCTTTCCTATATTTTTCTCTCCTCCCATGTCAAGTCGTTTTTTATGAATATGTGTCCCTCTTTTAGTCGATTTTTCCTTTTCATTACCTCATTCTTTTCCTCATCACTATCGAGTCTCACTATTATTACTCTTCCACTCAATCTACAATTTTCTGCCTTACAATCCATGTCTAGTTTCTCCCTTAGGAATTTTGTCAATCTTTCAGACCTTTTTTTATATTTCTCCTTCCATTTTCATTCCTTTTATTACTATATTGTTTCTCCTTTCATTTCTCTCTTTATCTGACAACCACTTTTTATTTTTCCTACCTCTCTTGTACTCACAATCTGTCCTCGCTTATATCCATATATCTAGAACTCCCGCAGCTACTTCCTCTTCTACTTACTGTTTTCCCTCTTATACTCGATCCCGCTTCACTTTCCTCCTTTCCCTTTTCATCTTCTTCCTAATTTGCTTGCATTTCCTCTCTCATTTCTTTTAGTCCTTTTACGATCTCCTCAATTCTATCTTCTAGCATCCTAATTCTAATTTCCCAATTTCTCTCTTTATTTTTCCATTCCTCTGCTATTTCATTAAATCTTTTTCGGATAAACTTCCGAAAAGCTATCACCCCCGATTTTGCTGATTTTTAGCGAAATTACTTATTTTATGTAGTAAATAATATTCCCAAATGGATTTTTGGCGCAAATGCCCCCTCCGCTCCCCAGCCCCCCTCAAAGGTAAAACTGTTTTTGTTAATTATTTCAGAAAGTATTTATTGTACGGAAAAAGTTGTTAAACAAAAAATGAAGCTCATAATAAGCTCTACAAATAAGGTCCTATACATATTTTACCTAACTCCAATATTTTAGTCGTTATTATCAAAAAACTGTAAAATCAGTTTTTTTTTTAAGTATCAACACCGTTTTCACGAAATATCTCGGAAAGTGTTGATACGAAACAACAATACAATTCAATGTTGATAAATACAGTTCATACAGCTCATACATAGGGTTTGGATTGAATCTCGCTTTGCGTAGAAATTCGTAAACCCACGTGGAACCTCGCTTCGCGTAAAAAGTGTATGTGTGGAGGCAGTGTGTTCCGCCCCCCCTGCGGGGGGCTCCACCATCAAAAAACTATACACCTATACACATAGGGTTTGAATTGAATCTCGCTTTGCGTAGAAACTCATAAACCCACGTGGAACCTCACTTCGCGTTGTAAAGTGTATGCAGTGAGTGCCGCCTCTCCTACGGGGGCTTTTACAAGTTTTTTTGATAATAATGACTAAAATATTGGAGTTAGGTAAAATATGTATACAACCTTATTTGTAGAGCTTATTATGAGCTTCATTTTTTGTTTAACAACTTTTTCCGTACAATAAACACTTTCTGAAATAATTAACAAAAACAGTTTTACCTTTGAGGGGGGCAGAGAAGGCATTTGCGCCAAAAATCCATTTAGGAATATTATTTACTAGATAAAATAAATATTTAGGCTGAATATCAGCCAAATCGGGGGTGATAGCTTTTCGGAAGTCCACCCCTTTTCTTTCTTTCTTGTATTCCTCTATCTCCTTCGAAATCATATCCATTAATTCCTTCTTTACCTCTTCTAATCTATCTGTCTCATATCTAACCTCCATATCTTTCTCTCTCTCCACAAACGATACTTTCTTTTTTTCACCGTTCTTATTTTTGTTTATTTCCCCTGTTAATTCTAATTTCCCCTGCTTTTCTTCCGCCTCATTTCTATTTTTCAACTTTCCTATCCTACTAATTCTATCCGTACCTTTTGTCGCCATAACCTCTTCTTTACCTCGCCGTCTATCCTTCGTTATATTTTTCTTAAACCTCCTTCCTATTCTCTACCTTCACTCTCCCTTCTCCCTCTATATTTCTTATTCAATAATATACAATTTCTTATCTATCCTAATTCTTAAATCACACTTTTCTCGCAAAAATTCTCTTTCACTCACAATCGCAATCCTCACTCGCTCACACTACCTAACCAGGTCCACATAAATTATTATATCTGTTACTCAATTTTTATATATTTTTACACCGGCCATTTCCGGATTAAATTATATTAACAAAAAAATATATAATTATATGTATGTATATAATTGGCAGAAAATATACGAAAATAAAGATTCAGAAGTGTACGAGTGAAAAGTCAACTACAAGAATTATCCAAAAAATAATAATACAAATACAATTATAAGTATAATTTATTTCATTTCTTATTAAAATATGTATATTTTTATTGTTTGATACAAAAAAGATTTTTAAAAAAATTAATTTTTAAAAGACATTTTTCTAATTTCTTCAAAAAATACAACTAAAAACTAAAAATACAACTAAAAACAATTATTAAAAAATATATTTTATTAAATATAATATTTTATTTTTCCTTTCCTGTTTTTTTTCTTAATGGTTTATTGGTTATATATAATAAACCATTAAGAAAAAAAATAAACCATTAATAAATTAATAAATTAACACTAATTAATAAATTAGTTATTTAAAGATTAATGACATGATCAAGTACATAAAACTTAAAAGTTAACTTTTATCTTTCTTAAAAATATATATCACAATTTTATACTGATGACATTATTTTTTAACACGGCGCAATTCCCAGTTTTTAACATCTAGAGAAACTTGGCAGGCACAATAAAGAAACAATAGCAAAATAAATAATGCTTTCCAGGATCCTATAAGTAAAAATTGACATCTCTTTTAACTCTTTTTTCTTTTTTTTTTTTTTTTTAATTAACGGAATTTTTTGTTAACACATTGCAGACAGATCATGAAAAAATTCTCTTTTACATATATAGAACATAAAAACACCTGATCACTGAATACAGTTAATAATGAAATGATTGGTCCACAATGTGTCAATATTAATTACTTGTAAATATGTTAAATTGTTTTTATATTATTATATTAATATTCAAGTAATAAATTATAGCAATATTAGAAAATAAGATAGTAAATATATTTTTTCTATATATGAAATAAGATAAAATTCACAAAATGTAAGAGATTAAAATACAAAGAACTTACCATATAGTACATTTCGTAGAAAAATATTTCCAATTTCTTGACCTCCAAAAAAATAAAAATTAGATATGGCTGACATTGCTAACAGAGGACTTGCTAATATACAATGAAGTCTTTTTGAATTTCTTGATGATAAATATGTATTTTGTATTTTATGATATTGTTCGGTTTTACTAATTGATACTCCTATATCTTCGATTGTAACTCCTATAAAATTGAGCAGCGCCCATATAAAAATACTCGTTTGCATTCCGTGCCAAATAAGGACAAATGTAAAGCACAAAAATGATGAAAATAGTTTTCCAAAACCTCCATCTGATCTTCGTGTAGGAATATAAATATATCTGTAATAAGAAAACAAGTAAATAAAATATTTAAAAAGTTATGATTCTTTATTAGATAAAAAAATATGAATGATTTCTTTATTGACTATTAGGCACGTTAAGGCAAAGTATATATATAACTACAAAGTCAATTATATGTATATCAAAAACTTACTTTACAAGAAACTTGTATAATCCTCTATCAAAATATTTCCACATGTCAGAATATAAATAAATCCTAGCTATACATTTAGGTTGGGGTGGAGCTTTCATATCATCCAAGTTACATAAAGTACTGCAAGTTCCATAAATTACTACATATTTATTTAAAAAAAATTGTCCCATGCAATAGCCGAAACCATATAGTGCCCAAGGATTTAAATTTCGCACCACCTGTAAAAAAGAACAGAATATATTTTCATGTGTGTGTAAATATGTTGAAACTTGACAGACATATTTATATCTTGGTAAACTATTTGCATCATTTTTGTGTTTTGTGTTTATCTTTATATAGCATGGAATATAAAAATAAAATGAATACATTACCTGTGGATGATATTGTACAGCATTGACATAAATAAAGTGTAGCAACAATTCAGTCAAGTATAACCAAAACATATATCTAATTAGGTTTATTGTAAAAGTTTGCAATTTTTGGTAATTCCAATATTGATGTGATTTATTAATCTGAAAAATAAAATATTTGTTACAAGGTTTTGTAAAATTCTCTAATATGTAGTACATACAATATACATACAGAATCCACAAATTCATGATACAAAATAAGTGGTCCATAAAATAATGTGGGCAAATACAAACAATAAGCTAATTTTTGAACAAAACTATTTGTAGTACGATATTGGTCATCAATAGTATCCATATTATGACTGATACTTCTTAAATGTATCCAACACAATGTAATTGTCAAAATATAATGTTGGTCATCATTGAGTTCTAGCCATCTTTGAAAGATGCCATCAGGGGTTTTTAAAATATGTATTGCAAATAGGAAGGAGACATGTATAATCCATGCTTTACTCTTGCTGTATATGCAAGTTAATATATGTAAAAGACTAGGCTGCACTATACACAATACAACACTCCATATTCCCAAATAATAAAAAATAAAAACTGAAGATGACAAAATATACCAGCTGCATAGTATCTGTAAAATTTTCATGCATTAATTTTTTTTTTAAACTATATACTTTCATATAAAATATATTTTATATGCGCAAATGTCATACTATATTGTTGCTTGTGACTTTTATAATCTGACTGATAAAATGATGTATGAGAACACATGGCACCAGTTTGTTAACTAATGCAAGCCATACACGCCACTCATGATCCGCAATATCTTGTTTTTTTCCAATCCAAGTCCATCCTGGATTAAAATCACTGTATTTATCGTAATAATTATCGAAATCTGAAAATACAATTCATAATCATACAACCGTCAACATTGTTACATTATATCATATAATTTTATTCTTACAACTAGTTGACAAATATAGTTGATATACAGAATAAGCAACGGAACATGACCATGCAAAGAAATAGAAATAACTTTCATAATTCTTAATAATTGCTACACTGTTCTTATTCATCGTTAAATTAAATTTGCCACTAGATTTACTCTGATAACACAATTGAACTCTGTAACGGCTCCTGCACACAGGACGCGGCAAAAGGCACGCGGTAGTCAATAAACTTTTCCATAAGAGCGAAACATTGATTGGCTACCACATCGTTTCTTGTCGCGCGTGGTCGCGCGGCAAGCGTTATCGCGTCCTGCGTGCAGGAGTCATAATATACTGGAGTGAGCCTTAAAGGAGTGGGGATAGTTCCACTATGAGACTGTGGAATACTGTGGAACAGTGATGCGATCTTTCCCACAGCGGTCCCGGCTCGGCTGTGGGAAAGATCGCATCACTGCTGTGGAAAGAGACAGTTTAATATTCGCGCCATTTATTCATCGTAAATTTTTCCATCTTTTGCTTGATTTTCTTATACAAAAGCAAATTGTGTATTTTTCTAACGAACACATGTAGTATTATTTCAAGATATACTTAATATATGGAAAAATTGTAATAATTTAAAAATCATAAGTTACATACCTACAAATTGCATACATAACCTGACATTCTATTAGCAACGAGTTCAATATGAATGATGTTATAGATTCACTCGATTTATTACCAGTTTATTATTCGAGGTTGTTTCCGTTTGCTGACTATTATAAGTGGCTAAGTTATGGAAATGGTAAACTTTAAATTATTTGTAAAAAAAATATACATATGCAATATATAACATCCATATTTTTTTAACTTTTTAGCGGCTACTTTTAGCAAAAGAGAATTCTCTTTTACACTATCGGACGATATTTATATACGTTATCAGTCTTTTAATGATCAAAAAGGACTATCAGATGAAATTAAAAGACTGCTGCCACATAAGATAGACATTGGAGCGGTTTATAATGTTCAGTAAAGTATCATAACATATTTATACAAGATGTTTCTTATCCAGTACTTTTCGTTTTAATGCTAAACTCTTTTGTAAGTTTAAAATACATATGATTTAAAATGGTTAATAACTAGTCATTGTATATAAGAACTTTCGAATTTTTTATATTAGGAATCTTATTAATTAAATTATATTTTTAAAAAACTTATTTATATATTGAGTGAAAACTAATAATTGAAAAAGAAAGTATAATTATTTTACATTCTCTATTCTATTCTATTGGAATTGTTTCATTAGTTTTTATGTATGTTATGTTACACAATATCTAAATGCTATCAATATAAGAAATAATAAAGTTTGCATTTAATTTCAGACCAAAAGATCAAAAGAAAGGTCCCACCTTTCGGCCAATTGAGAGAGAACTAGTATTTGATATAGATATGACAGATTATGATGAAGTGAGAACATGTTGCAAAGGAGCAGATATTTGTAATAAATGTTGGAAGTTTATGTCGCTTGCTTGCAAAATATTGGATAGTGCATTGAGATGTAAGATATTGTACACTATCATTTTATTGACCTTAACTTTGAATAATATCTTGAGATAATTGATTTTTACAGCGGATTTTGGATATAAGCACATCTTGTGGGTGTTTTCTGGCAGAAGAGGTATTCATTGTTGGGTATGTGATTCTGCAGCACGTGTTTTGACAGGACAAGTAAGAGCGGCAGTTGCTGAATATTTACAACTCATAGGCGGAGGTGAATTTATGAAGAAAAAAATACATCTTACTAGTGATAAAATTCACCATTCTGTCAAGTAAGTTTATATAAGATTTATAGTAATAACTTTAAATATATACAATAAAATTTATGTTGTACATTTTGCAGACGTGCTCTCGATATAATCGATCCTATTTTTATTGAAATGAGTGTTAAAGAACAGAATATGTTGGGTACAGAGGAAGGAATTGAAAAATTTCTTCCAATACTACCCAACGAGGAGGATAGACAAGAGGTGAAGACATTGTTTAGTAAGGAGAACACCAGTGAAGCAAGATGGAATGTATTCGTACAATATATTGAATCTAAACGAACAGGAGTATGATATTTATATTTATTTATATTTGAGAAGAGTGTTTTATATAGTGTTTTCCAGCAAAGAACGCACGATACAGTGTGTCGATACAAATCAATATATCGGCGAGACAGCAAAAATGATGACAGATGTAAATTATGATATACAATAAAAAAATCTACATTGGTGCGAACAAATGACTACATTGAAAGTCAAAGATTCCATACGCATATGTGTAATATTAGTGTTTATCTGTATTTTTTTTGCTGGAAAACTTACTATCACTTTTATCACAGTTTATATGAAACATAGAAATAATTTAATTTATTTCAGGGAGACCGAAAATGGTATTTGTATCGTCATTTAATAGAAGAGATAAAATTACAATATTCGTATCCAAGATTAGACATAAATGTCAGCAAAGGTTTAAATCACTTGCTAAAATCTCCTTTTTGCGTTCACCCAAAAACTGGAAAGATTTGTATACCATTCAATGCGAATACAGTAGACAAATTTGTTCCTGACAAAGTACCTACGATAATGACATTGATAGAGGAGATTAATGCGTACGACGTAAAGAACAAGATTGAAGAAGAAACATATGTACTAAATAAAAAGCGGATAAAAGATTACAAAAAAACAAGTCTGAACAAATCACTACATGTTTTTCAAGAATTCTTACGACACTTAGAAGCCGAGCGGCGGGAACAGAGGTTAAAAGGAAAACGTAAGTATTATATCAGTATTAAATTAACAGTTAGCAGCTTTTATATAATTTGTGGTTGTAATTTCTAAGATATTTGTTTTTAGTTTCAGCCGATAATATGGAATTTTAAGGGATTGTCTAATGATACTAAAATATAACATTGTTTTACATTGGATTTAATATTATTTATAATGTTTCAACGTAGTTTTGTAAAATAAACAAATTTTTACTCCATTGTGTTTAACAGCAGATATTCTTGTGCTGTTTAAATGTTTATTTTTGAAGTTTATATACATGAAATGGGGTGGACTTCCGAAAAGCTATCACCTCCGATTTGGCTGATATTCAGCCTAAATACTTATTTTATTTAGTAAATTATATTCCCAAATGGATTTGGGATTTTCAAATGGAAATATTTACAGTGTCATATCACAAAAAATGTAATCAAGCAGCATTATCATTTCGTGTCAATACGCATCATTAATTTTTTTAGTTAGAAAGAATTATTTATTATAACTATGTTTAATAAAAATAATATTTTATCACCGTTATTTATATGTTATTATATTGTCATTGTCGCAATTTGTAGTACTTTTTAACATAAGTTATGTTATTCACGTGTAAAAATATATAAAAATTACTTAAACTTGTGATTAGGTTATTATATAAATGTATAGCGTAATATAATTCGAAAATTAATAATTGGATTGAATTTCTAGTGAGCATTTATATTAAACCAATAGAGTTATGTCTTTGACTTCAAAAAAAAGTTAAACAAAAAATTCTGAAATGTATCAAAGAAGAAACTTTGAATATTTTCTGTAAAAACAATAACCGCAAACCGTATAAATCATATGTAAAAATTAATGTTTAAGCAAAATGATTAGTATCGCGGAAGAAAGGCAACAATGAAAATCTTCCATGCATTTTTTAAGATAGGATATTGATAACCACTGCAATTAATTTTATCAATAAGCTTATCTTCCGTTTTTATTTACATGTAATAATATACACAATAAGTCTGGTCAAAATTCTCATAATTGTGCACTCGTATAATGTAAAGTACATTGTCACGTTTCATGCTAATGAATGAAACAATCACAATCACAAAATGATAATACTGCTTGATTACAATTTTCGTGATATGACATTGTAAATGTTTCCGACGATAATTATTAAGTAATTTTTATCCTAAATTATTATCATCCTAATACCGATGCAATTACGCATATTGCTTTTACTCGGAGCGATTATCTACTTGACATCTTTAGAATCTTCCGCTTTGCAACCTTCTTACCGAAGAACACAGACTTTTTATCAGAGAAATTTCCAGTTTTTATTTGCAGATTTCAACTTTTGAATTAGTTTTCAAACATTGTGGATTCCATTCAGCGATATAAAACACGATAATTCCTGAAATGGCTGAAATATATAGAAAAGACGTTAAAAATTAGCGAATCTCCAATGTAATGAGAAATAAACGTTAATGTAATTACGGGCTGCATCTTAACCGCAAGACATTGCTGTTTAATAATATCAATGGTTCAAAATTCTAAAATTTTTACTATTATTTTATATTTTAAAAAAATTGGAACAAAGGTAACAAATTAATTCAGCAGCATCTATTATATAACTTCAAAAATTTCAATCGGAAAGTTTTTGATCAATGAGTTTTCGGTTGTAATTTTATTCGTGTTTTTGTGAATAACATGTACAGAAAAATTGACGCATTCCGATAAAATAATGAATGACATAAAAAGTAAAACAACTTGCATTTACTGTAAACCGTACAAATCCTATGTAAAAATGATACCTTTAAATAATAAAATAACACTCTCTTATGACAAATTTATTTATGATGAATGCATCATGTATAATATAAACATTTCTCGAACAAACATAATTTTAAAATTTAAACTGATATATTTCACCGACAATTAAATGTATTACATTCGGAGACTTTTACAGAAGTTATAATAAGAAATTTACACTATATAAAGTAAAAAAAATAATGGAAATATATAACACATATTATACATGCGTCAAAATACATAAAAAATTATACAAAAGTTAAATATTTCATACCAAATTATAGTACAAATTGTCAGTATTTTTCTCTTTACAAAGAAGTTGATGATTATTTTATTAAATTGTTTCAATCAATAAAATTAAGAATATAGTTTATAAATTTAAAGCATATTACATAATAAAATTTATAATTATAATTAATAAATTAAAAAATTAATTTTGTTTTCTATAAAACGTAAATTTATAATCATATTAATAATTTAATAAACATAAAACAAATGATTATACGTCAGAACTATGTACACCACTTTTCTTGTATATATCTTTTAATAAATTAAAATCGTCAAAATTGAGACTACCATTATTGCTGGTTGTGATGTTACTTGGATGCCGTTACCATCATTTCCCATTGCCATTTTGGATAAATCTATATAAACAGTAATTATACATAATAATTGATGTAATGTAAAATTAATTATACATAATAATATTAACAATAACAAAAATAAAACTTACGGAAATTTTTCAATTCAATTTAGTTAGCTTGCCAAATGATGTTTATTCTTAATATAGTCATTTAAATTAGTTCTTGTAGCAACGAAAATGTATCAGTGACAAATATTACATTAAATTAAATAGAATATAAGGCTCTGGTGATTTTTAAATCAAATAGAATCAACAAGGAGCATAAAGAGCCATAATGCCAGGTCTTCGTGCGAAGGTTAAAATATATTCATTAAAAGTGTTTACAGACGTTTCGGCCTGCCATCAAGCCTTCTTCAATGTACAATAAGTGACAACAAAATAACGATATATTCGCAAACATTATAAGAAAAAACGATGTCGAAGACATCGTAATAGCAATCGACCATATTGTAGTTCGTTAATTATATAGAACAGCAATGTAAGGAGATAAAATGATAGTAGAAAAAAGTAAAATTACAAAAAATAAACTTAAAAAATAAAAAATAAAAAATAAAACATACTTGTGTTAATACATGATGACGCTGCGTTCGCTCGAGTAAAAGGGGCGAGGTGGAAAAGTTAAAAACAGAAGACTCTCCATGTTGAACTTCAATTTCATACTGATTGCAATAAGTTAGAATTCCGAAATAACGATTGACTGTAGGAAGAGAGAAAAAAAAGGGGGGGGGGAAACAGAAGACAGTGGAGAAGGAGAATTATTAGAGAAAAAAGGAGGGGAAAGAAATTTAAAGAGGAGGAAATAAATTAATGATCGAAAGATAGGCAACAGGTAAATGGTCCGTATCATTTTGATTGTTGAGCCCTGCATTTTGTCTTTTGATAAAGACCATTTCAGAAATGAGTCTTTTGGGGTAAGAGGGTTCACCGTCCAATATTTTAACATTATTCCAATCGAAATCATGGGAAGAATCAATTCTATGTTTGGAAATGACAGAAGGAGAACATATGTTATCCTGCATTACAGAAGCAGAATAATATAACCAGAGAGAAACCTGAGAGGGACCACGTTGCCGTTTTTCGTAAGACGCTTTTTCTAAGCCGTATGTTACATCCATTTTCCGGGATGGTAAAAGAGTCATGGTTGGTTCATGTCTGTGTTACATCCACAATTTATTGAACAGAAATACGTCTCGCATATAGATATAATTTATATAGATACAATTTATAGCATATAGATATAATTTATATCTATATGCGAGACGGATTTCTGTTTAATAAATTGTGGATGTAACACGGACATAAACCAACCAGGGCTCTTTTACCATCCCGGAAAATAGATGTGGCCATG